ATGGTGACTCCCTACACCAAACCAACGATGGACTCAAATAGACTATATTGCCATCAGTCACCGTTGGAGAGGGTCGGTACAAGATTGTCGCTCATTCTGGAGTACCTGCTTGGACTCCGACCATGCCCTAATACGGGCACGCATCTGCTTGTGCCTCACTGGACGCAGAAAATCCACATTAAAAAGACCCATTAGAACTGAATTGGGCAGCGAGAAAACCTAAATGAGGTTCCAAGAAAAACTGAGTTCACACTTAGGTAGTTGTGAAGACGAGGCTGACCCAGATGTTGCTTGGAAGGGCATACAAACAGCTGTGGAAACAGCAGTGACATCTATCAGTGATTTAAACCACAGGGTTGCAAAGAACCAATGGATTTCCTCAAGGTCTATTGCACTGATGGATTCCTGCAAACTCATCCCATCAGGTTCCGAACATGATGAAGAGCAACAACAAATCAGATCTAGGTTAAGAAAAAGTCTGAGAAACGACCGTGAGCAGTGGTGGGCAATGAAAGCAAAAGAGATGGAAAAGGCGGCGACTATAGGGAACACAAGACAGCTCTACAGACTAATAAAAGAAACTGGAATTAATAAGTCAAATGTAAGTCAGACTATTTCGGAAAAAGACGACACTTATCTGCTCCCAGTCCAGACGTTTAGAACGATGGGCGGAACATTTCAGAGAACAGTTCAACTGGCCTTCAGCTACTCTACAACTAACCTCCATTCCCAGACAGTGTGAATGGAACATTGAAGTAGGTCCCTCAACTCTAGCAGAAGTTCAAAAGGCTATAGTTAATCTGAAACGAGGAAGGGCAGCTGGTCCAGATGGATTGGCTCCAGAGGTCTTTAAGGATAGTGGTCTAATTTTAGCGATTAGGTTGACTAATATTTTAGCTAATATCTGGGAGTTAGACGTTATTCCATCTGACTGGTCACAATCACTTATCGTCCCAATATATAAGAGAGGGTTAAAATTATCCTGTGACAACCATAGAGGGATTAGTTTAACTAATATATTATCTAAAATACTAGCCTCGATAATTATCAAACGCCTAACTAAGACTCGTGAACTGCAAACACGAGAGAACCAAGCTGGCTTCAGACCTGGTCGTGGCTGCACCCCACACATTCACCATTCGTCAGATTCTAGAACACAGGCATACTTATCGGCGTCCGACAATGGTGATCTTCCTTGACTTAAAAGCAGCATTTGACTGCTTAGACCGCGAGACTCTGTGGCAGTGTCTGTCATTGAAAGGCGTACCTCAGAAGTACATAAACCTTGTGAAGGCTATCTACTCGAACACTACTAGTCGAGTGAGAGCTTATGGCGAACTGTCATCTACTTTTGCAACCTCAATTGTTGTCCGTCAAGGCAGTCCACTTTCTCCATTTCTGTTTAACTTCATCATAGACCTACTGATGGAAATAACACTCTCGTCGACTGAATTCTCGGGTATTGACCTCCTTCCAGGAGGTCCACTTATCGACTTAGAATACGCAGATGACATAGTCCTGTTTGGTGAAGATGCTGACAAAATGCAGAGTCTTTTGGTAGCACTAAGCAACAATGCCAGAATGTTTGGAATGCGCTTCTCTCCCTCTAAGTGCAAGTTGTTGCTTCAGGACTGGTCTGCGTCAACACCTGAACTAAGGATAGGCAGTGAAGTAGTCGAACGCGTTGACAACTTCACTTATCTTGGAAGTCTGATCAGCCCTAATGAGTTGGTGTCTGACGAAATCTCTGCACGGGTTGGAAATGCTCGTTTGGCTTTTACCAACCTACGTCACCTATGGAGGTGAGATATCCGTCCGTTCTGTTTTACTTTACGGCAGCGAAACATGGCCATTAAGAGTAGAAGACACTCGTAAGCTATTAGTATTTGTCCACAGATGCCTTAGAAATATTGCTGGCATCTGCTGGGATCACCGGGTAAGTAATAGTGAGGTTAGACGCGGGGTATTAGGAAATGATGGTAAATCAGTTGATGAGGTTATGAATCTTCATCGACTAAGATGGTTGGGCCACGTCTTACGTATGCCTGAACACCGACTACCACGACGTGCAATGCTATCCGGTATCGGTGATGGTTTGAAGAAAGGTAGGGGCGGCCAAACCAAAACGTGGCATCAGTGCTTGAAGTCACTAAATTCTAGTCTGAGCCATGTTGGCAGATCCAGACTACTTGGTTGGGGTCCACGTGACTTTCGTAACCGATGGTTGGAGACTCTTGGTGACATGGCTCAGAATCGATCACATTGGCGTCGGTGTATACCCTCCCTGTCTTCCCTTAAACTAAGAGATTAAAATCATTTCATATCTTTCTTTTTACTAACTAACTCTTTGTTCCTGTACTGTATCTTTATATGGAATCTTTCTTTTATATATTGCCACCTTTGACCTAACCACTGCTATGAATCTGGTGTTCATCTTGCTGTGTTAATGAGGTATGACAACCTGGACCGATGCACATATGTGCCTGATCCTACGTTGTAGCTGACTGCTTGACTGAGTAACTTCATCATAGTTATTATATTGGAGTTAAATATTTTTCGTATGTCAATCTTAATTAATTTAAACTCAACTTTCATGTGTATTTAAGTACCTTGATTTAAGTTGTGGGAATGCTCACAATCGGCTTTCCAACCTTAGGTGAATAATTAAAGTGCCATACCGGTGACTTAGCATATCATTCATCTATCAGCTACTTGGTCATCCCTTGTATTGTTACTCCTTGCTTCGAGCAACTGATTTTGTATCTTTTATCCATCATAATCAATACGTATCAGTAGATATATCTTTCTAAAAACAAATGTTGATGATAGTTGTCATAGTGTTATGGTCACTTCGGGTTCGTTCATATGCTAATATTATCATTTGTAAAATGAATTAATTACACTCTGCAATGCAAATATTCATGTAAACTTGCTTTATTACTCGAAGTGGTGTGTGCATCTTTGTTAGCTTATATTGATTTGTACTTCAGTTTTTTTATTATTGTTCCAAATAACCTTTGTAGTAATAACAACTTTTCTGCCCTTTTTGTCCCTAATAATTTCACTCCTTTCGAATATTAGCTTCAAAATAATACACCACTAATGCTTACTTCTCGTAAAAGTGGGGGCTAAATCAACATGCTCTGATGACCTTGTTTGTAATTGGTTGTCCTCATTTAATCCTGTATTCAATTTAACTGTGTTGTTCTACTGACCTCTAATCATGTGGATGATCAACCCTTTTGGAACGAGTCGATGAATCGGGTCTATCTCTATTTGTTTGTTGATTCCTGGCTGATCTGAATAACTTGCTTCTAGAGGTTCTCTGACGTTTTTAAAATTCCAACGATCCAAAATTTGGATGTTTCTTCAGTCGAATTCATATCTGTGGTTGTTTACATACGTTGATATCAGTGATAACATATCGTGTTGTTTCACCGTTAGTTCGTGTTCGTATATGCGCAAGTGATGGGGATGTCCACCTCTACATTTTTAATAAAATGAATATTAGGATAACCTTAATTGTGTCTCTTTTTCCCTGAGGAAAGTTTATTGCTGTTACACAGGCTTAATTTCATTTGGAAATTCAGAAATTTTAATTTCCGTTCCACTTACCTTATTTTGAAAAATCGGTTAGTATCACTGTCCAACATACATCTAGTGTGTGACTTAAAGACAGATACATGAACCAATACTTTGTAAATAATAAATAAATAAATAAATAAATAAATAAATAATAATAATAATAATAATAAATAAATAAATAAATTTACACTGTATTATAATATTGTATTTGGCAAAATAGATTCATTGGTATTAAATAATTTTATAAAAATAGAAAACAGAAACTGTACAAATTCTTAAATTTTAAGCTTAACAGATATGAAATTTTTCTATTGTAGTGTCGGTTACTATGTTAAACCCATGTACCTTATTCTAACTTTCGGACATCCCATTCTATTCACTCTACTTGAGTCACACGCTGACCTTGTTATTTATTCGCTTATCAATCTTGACTGTTTTCATATGAGCGCGTAGGTGTGTGTACATTTCTTATCCCATTACCCATCACATGTCTGTAACTTATTTTTGTGTAACTATAACGCTTGGTTAAATGGGAGTTGACTTACCAGCCATCTCCACTCTGCGTCCTTTCTCTTCTCTCTATTCATTTCGCTTCATATACAAAATATATGTATTCAAAAGTCCATTCTCGTCATTTGACTTATTTAATTCCGTTATTGACTAACGCAATTTAAGTCGATGATTATATACAAGGATAGGCGATAACAAACATTCATTACAATCTCATTGGTGTCAGATTCACGGGCCACTAAACTATAAAGAACGTGAGAAAAGTTTTTGAAGAAAGACTGTTGTCGGACAGTTTGTATTGAAATAGATCAGTGATTGTAAATTAATAAGACGATATACGTAGAGATATTATAAACAGATGAAGATATGGTAAATATCAGTTAATTTGAAGAAAACTGTTAGAGACAGAATTTTTTTACTTGACTTCTTTTGATGTTGTACTTACGTTACTCAAATCATGTGTAAATTCTACAACTTGGTTATTTATTAGTGATCATGATGAACTACAACTACATTTTTATCAAATTTGATCGTATTTTTGGTAAACACTGGATATTGTTTGATATTTCCCTTATATATATGTATGAGCAAAGATATACTTTACCTCAAAATGTTTGACTGACATTACATTTTCAATTCTATTTCATTCGAGGTTGATAATTTTTTTTCCCTAATAGTAGAAGTTATCTAGAATGTTTCATACCGGTTTACCAAATGTTAAGCAAATATTTGAATGTATCAGGCGTTTATATACAGACAATACCTTCTAAAAGTACACCGGTGTTCTGCTTTTCATATATGTAGGTTTATTATTCGAAAATCTTTTCAGTTCTTACTAATTCCCAAAAATATTGTTGCCACATATGTATCTAGTAATGTTCTCCATTTTTGTACCTCTGTTGTAGGTGTTCAGTACTCATTCCACTACAGATTATAATCGTAGAAATGAAGAAATAGATCCATTGTCTGCTTCAGCAGAATATGAATTAGAAAAACATCTTGAAGATATGGATATGTTTGAAATCGATTTCCGTAAAGGTTTGTTTCTTTCTATATCATGTGTATGTAAAACCAAAAGCATATGCTGTGGATTTGTGTTCACTTGTTTTACTTCTATTTTTCTCTTTCGTGTCTTGTGTATGCGGATTTTGTACTATGTTAGACATTTTTCATCGTTCAAAGTTACCATTACATGGGTTTACGGCAACATAAATGACAACCCTGCACCTTATATTAATGTTCATATATAAATCACACGGTAAAGTTTAAGTATATTAAAGGCCAAATTATTTGTGATTGATAAGTCTACGCGATTCAACGAATGACCTTTATTACCTTTTTTATTTTTAATCGAGTTTTATGTTGAAAAAAAATTTCACCAGTTTCAGCATTTATCGTAACTTATACATCACTACATTGTTTGTTGAAGCATAAACATAAATCAGTTTTTCTATAAAGCATTTCGTATTAGATTATTCATTGTTTACTACCTAGTCTCCATTTGTTTAGAGCCTAGTAGAGTATATAGATTTTACCCGTAGATACTATATGACAAATCGATTCATTTTCATTTCTTCTACAACAATTTATTATCTGTTTATTTGTCTAATAGGATTATGTTGTCACATTTTGTTTTGTTGTCAATATCTGCTTTATTGTGATTTAAGGAATATGTTTAAAAGCTTACGCAATTATCCTGCAAAAAGCTATTCTTTTTTGTTGTTGCGGCGAATGTACTCTCAATGCTGTATAATCGCAAATATAGAATGTTTTCCAAAGTAATGATCAATAGTATGTTTGTCGATAATGATGATAATAAAGTTTACTGAACATGTTGACAGAGATGCAGAATTAAGAGGAGCATGAAAACGTTATTCTTGTCAGAAAAGCCCAACTAAACATGCAGTGATCAAGAGCTTGAAGACTTATCAATATGATAGATAAAATTTGATAATTCTGTTCAAGGGTTACGTAAAATGATACGGTGAAATATTGAAATGAAATGCAATCAGACTGGATATGAGAATAAAAATAGATTTGTTAAGGTTGAAAAAATTCAATAACGAGAGGTGGAAAGGTAGTGACTGGTAAATTAACGTTTAAGGTCATGGTAGGCGTCGAATAACCTTCCTTTAGATACACAGTTCTGGTGTGTGATAATGACTTCATCAGTGCTAAGGTGAAGGAAGCTTACTGTTTTTGGTAAGTTTCCATTTACCCTTGTAAATAAATTTGAACTTTGAGTCTTTTGTTTGAATAATTCGTATTTACGAAATGTTTGATAATTAGACTTTTTATCGACCCAGACCTGCCTCTGTTCAAACATGTCAAAAAGGGTACTTTTCATTAAACCATATTTTCTTGTTTTATCTGTTAATGGGTGTTTTCAAATCATTTAGCCAACAAGAATATAACATGTGTTGTTACCTAAGATTTGTATACGGTTACGTATACTCAATACTTTTCCTTTATTGTATCTTGTAAAATTGTAAGTACAAAAAAATAATTCATTGGTTTGATGTACGTTGAATTTGAAACTTTACTTTCTGTACATAAGGGCTAGTGATACTGGCCAATTGTACAAATAGTTTTTAGTGGAGAGTTTACCGTTTAAATTCATAGTTTAGTTATTGAAATATGAATACTTTAATTAATAAAATCTCATTCTAAATAAAGTTTGAATGATACGATTAAGTGATTCAATCTTTGAAATAAATTGCACTATCTTCGAAGCTGTTCAGAGTAAATTACACGAGTACTCTATATCACAAACCGGTACCCTACTGATATTATCATTTTCATTTAATAGTCAGACATACTACATTTTACCATTATATACTGCAAAAAGTAAAACATCAAGTCAAATTTGTGCATCATTTAATATGTAATTGATTATCATTTATTCATCCTTTTATTGTTTAAATCCCACTCAATAAAAATTCTTTATTTAATAATTACCTCTAATTGTAAATTACTTTCTCTTTCTCTTTGTACATAGATTAAAACAGATAAATTCATCTAATCGCTAATAATGAACTTGTCTCATGATCACCTAACTTTAAGAAATGTGATCCAATGTCATGTATTGTGTTGTTTATGCTATTCGCATTCACTTAGGCTTATTATTTAATAGTTATAGTGAATGTCACTGGAAATTTTTCAAAATAAATAAAGATATGCACTTTGATATACATATTGGTTCGTTTTCTACTTATCTCTCAATCTTTCTCGATAATTCTTAGTATTACTTATAGCTTATTATTTGTATCGAATCTCCTTGTTCCATTAGTAATCAGTATGTAAAGCATTCACTGATATTAATTAGCGTGTATATGATAGTTGAAATGCCTGCGTACATTCACGTATACGTATACAGATTAAAGCATTTACTCTGTTTACTGTCAAAGTGGCATGATATAAGTCTAGTATATATATATATATATATATATATATATATATATATATATCATATGATTATCAGTATCATACATATTCATTGACAGATACATAAAAAATTTACAGCTTTACTGTTGTATTTTTTTTCTACATAATGAGCAAAATTGAAAGATTGTGACCTTCATTATTATTCTGATTAGACTCGTGTATTTGTTGGCTCCTATATGCTTAGTTAACGAGTTTGTATATAAATGATATTTTGCATAATCTAATATCCACCTATATATCCAGTAGATTCCGTAGTGATTCCGTCTTCTGAGAAACCATCCGATTGCAGTTTAATGATCTGTCCCGTAAGTATATGATCGAATCGTCCAGCTAAGTCATTAAATCAACCGGTTTCCCTTTTATAACGTTTTATAATTTAATAGTAGTCATTGTTATATTGAGAATTGTCCAACATTTCATTATTCAGTTCTTAATTGAATAAGTCCTCCAATGCTTCATGATGGCATAAGCTAAATCTAACTTGTCTAGTAAACCATGTAATATAGGTTGCACTTTAATCGTTTTGTATAAATTATTCATTGAGCACCTCTTTGATAATGTTCACCTACCTCATTATAAAATGATCAAGTAGTTTATTCAGTTTTTCATGCAGTTATTTGCCTTAATAAGCCTTTGTAAAGCAACAATATCAGACCTTGTAGAATAAATTGCATTCGTTTCATTTCGTTTGCTCTAAATCTTCCACATACACACTTATTTACGTCAATAAATACGATATTTTACAAATGTTATTTTGTATGTAACTTGCAGAAATTCATGTAGTTCATAAGTAGGAAATAAATTTAAATACCCTTCACATTTATACAAATTCAGTTAACAGACGAACAAAATAAACGCTCTCGTGAGAAAAATATGATGACGTCATCAATCGGAAAAAGCATGTGCAAATTATTATGATTACGGTAGACAAAATAATGAGATTGATCGTAATTACCAAAGAACAATAGTAAAGTAATTATAATGCTGGCGATGATAATGGTTGAAGAGGGTATAAAAAACGTAATTATTTGAATAATTAAATTGATAGGGGTTAACCGCTTTGTTGAATGATGTTAAAATGATATAACTAGTTACAATCTAACTGTAAATTAATGAATAGAAAGTTGATTAAAATGAACAATAAGGGTATTATTGTGATTAAATAGAAGTTGATAAGATAATGTTCGTAATGGAAGGTTATGTGTCAAAAAGTAAAACGGAAAGTCCCTAAACTAATTTTGGAAGAAGAAAAAGGTGACAACAAAGGATAGCAATAAATCGATAACCATCACGGTACAGATCGAACCCAAAATTGTTCTTCGCAAAAATATCGACCAGCTACTGCTTCTATGTAACGTAGAATTTTACTGTTATTCTGTCGATTTAGCAATCGAAAACCAGTATCATGATCTGTTGAGTCACGTTTATCCATTATATTGTCTCATGGCACTCCTGGGTAACTTAGGTTAATGTATTATTAGGTTTTTTGGTGGAGTTTTGTTCTCTGAGCTGTATGGTTTGGTCGTGGAGCTTTCATCGTTCTTCTGAACGACATCATCGGCACAAACTTCCAAAATCATCCACCTGAGCTAAAAATCTTCACCATCTCAATGTATTATTAGATTCTTCTTTGATAACATTGTCTTTGTTATCCCAACATATGAGCTATTGGAAGTTAAGATAAATACAACTGTGACTAGAGGTGGTCTCTTTTATATAAGTTAGACTCTGAGTAGGCTTTTTTGTTTAATATGTGATAATTGAGTTGTCGATTAGAAAAGTCAGTGCAATTCTGACTTTTCGTCGACAGCTATTCTGCACTATGCAATTATCCCTTTTGGATTAAGGCCTATTTCTTATTGTAAATTCTCATTTGTTGACTTACAGTCCTTATTGATTAACTTTATGAGATAATTGTTCTCGAGTAAAGTCTGAATAGCTTCCATTTCTCCATCAGTAGAATCTATTGTTGTCGCTCTTGAAAACGACATCCCAGTATAACTTTTATATCGGACGAAAGCTGTTAAAGTACAAATATTGGTTTGCCTAAAAACTGCGTAGTAAATAAGATAACAATGATCCTTCGTTCTTATCGTATTTAGGTCCAAGGAATTTTTTCTAGTGCGAAATTCATGCTATCAGGTGAATTTTAAATTTGATTAAGCCAAATTAAAACATCGACGTAGTAGATCGGAAGTTTCTGTTATCACATTCTTATATTACACAAAAAATTGCATTTGTGAAATGTTTTGTTTTTCCGTTTATACGACCCAGTGTATATATGCAAAATCTAAAGCATAAAAAATGAATTAGGATCGCTTCATCCTGTAGTGTTTGTTGTTGATGCCTTACAAATGAAACGATTTTCTTGTACTGATGTCCTCTCCTAATATGTATTATTCGTTTACATATTCTAGCATAGAATTCAGTCCTGAGAATTTCTTTACCCCACTAGTTTAGTGATTTTTCTGACAGTCACTTTTTATTTCCCTTCATTATGTATCTAATGATTAGTTAGATATAGTATAGTATTGGATAGATCATTTTATTATTCTGCAGTTATGAAGTATGTTTTTCATAATGAATCAAACAGATTTTTTAATCAAAGATGGATAGTGGCTAGCACTGGAATCCGGGACGCGCGTTTCGTCCTATTTGGGACTCGCCAGCCGAACGTGCCTGTATCTCAGAGTTGACGTTCATTCCAGGACTCGAACCCACTACCGTTCGCATCAAATGCTATCGCGTTATCCTCTTACCTACTGAGTCCTGATAGCCACCTGCTTGTGCAATAGGGTAAAGTTTAAATTCACTTTGTTGTTTTACTTGTATCTTCCCATTGTTATTTAGCACTGCGGTTGATCGGTCTCATGCAGGTACGTCCAGCTGACGAGTCTCAAATAGGATGAAACGCGCGTCCTGGATTCCACTGCTAACCACTATCGATCTTCGCTTAAAAAATCTGTTTAGTTCGTTATGAAAAACATTTCATAATTTCAGAATAATAAAATGATGATGCACATATGCCAATATGAGACGACTGATCAATTGCAGTCCTAAATAACAACGGGGAGATACAAGTAAGACAACACCAAATGAATCAAATAGATGTTGTTCATAGTTGTTATACGCTTATTTCATCATTTTCAGTCGAATTAGTTTATTTTTTTTTCAAATTTATTCTCACTTTTAATTTATTTCTTGAATTAACTCTTAGTAGAAATAAATAAAAATTCTTACTACTTGTTGTTTATATTGTGTGGTGTTTCTTTGGGAAAGAACACATTTGATATCTTATTATGTTATATTATTTAATTTTATGGCTTAAATTTTGTTAAATTCATAATTTCAACAGTTGAGGAGTCCTACAATAGGACGAAACGGCCGTCCATTGCTTCCAGGTTTTCTGTGGTGGTCTAGCGTCAATTGATTCATGATCTCAACTGTTGAAATTACTACAATCTCCATAAAACCCCTTCTGATACTAATTCATAATTGTTTCGTATGAAATCAATTTGTTTTGTGTGTTAAAGTTATATGAAAATTATTTATTTGCTAAATTAACATTTCATATTAAACGTTACTATTGTGTATTTCATAAAAAAAGTAATGAAATGCACTCGTAAAGTGAACATTGAAAGTTTATATGTATAAAGCCGTTTAACGTAGATAAATATGTATATAATCTTGTATTCAAATTAATCATAGCATTTTGTTCATAATTAATTTTGTTTATCAGTTTACGGTTGTGGATACTTTTGATTGAAATCATGAATGGCTCAATGTTAGACCACCATTGAAAACGGCTGTTTTGTCTCAGTATGGGACTCTTCAGCACTGTAGTTTTATTTACTTGTCATAACTTTCTTGTATAATGTGTATATTTATTTCCGTAAATTGTTTCTATTTAGGTGTAAATGGTCTCGGTATTAGCATAGTTGGTTCCGGTGTTGATACTTCATCTGGTGAACAGAAATTAAGCATATTCATTAAATCATTTACTCCTGGAGGTGCTGCAGAGGCTGATGGTCGGTAAGCTATCCTTTTTTTCTCTTTCACCGGTTTGTGATTATTTTCTTGAGGATGGAAAGCGTTTTTCAAGTATGACATTGGTTATTTTGTTAAATGTATTTGGTTATGAGTTTTTACATCCTTAATATTGGTAAGACTAGTGGCATTTACAATAGTTGATATATATATATATATATATATATATGCTTGTTTTTTTCTTATTCGTCAACAGTTGTGACGTATACTTTGTTGACGTTTGTTTTACTTGACAATTTGTAACTAGAAGTGAACTTAATGATTAAAAGACTCTATTTGTAATCATTAGAATGACTACAGCTATTAACCTTACTGCTGTCTATCTTAGTTTGTGCAGTTATGCCGTATCATTTACTGTTATGTAAATAAAGTAGATCTTAAAGCCAAGTTCACAGATATATTCTTCAAGTATTTGTGTTGGTTATTATTTTAAATACACATCATAAAAGTAGGTGAATGGAAAGAAAATAGATTCATGTTAAAGTGTATAGAGAAGTGTGAGCTTTGCGTGTGTCGTTCCATTAATTAGAAGGCTATCATCTTTTGTGATGTTTAGTAGTCGGCAATTCGCTTATTCGTATAACCATAATTAAATACTACTTTTAATACTATTTTTAAGACAATTGGCGATATGTTATTGTGTTTTGAAATAGTTATTCATACTCCACCTTAATCTTTTTTAACATGTAGCATAATGTGATAATCTTAACATGTTTAAATCTTTACGTTCATTATGCATGTTAAACTCATCTTACAATACACATATATCGTTTATAGTTTTCAAGTTACTAATTTAGGTAATAGTACAACATGAAAACTAATATTTCATTTGAAATTTTTTCTCCGATTTCTTGTTGTTACCATCTATCTAATCTTTCGGATGTTTCCTTTCTTTCTCTCTCTCTCTCTCTGTCGCACTCACCTATACATTTTATCAGCCATTATCTAGATGACATTTATCGATATATGTTTCACTTAATAATTCTGTATAACTATTTATCAATTGAATTTCACCATTTTGTTTGTTCGTTTGCTTAACGCTATTTGGATCAGTGCAAAATTTTCACTGTTTATCTTTATTCAAATCATTCATTGTTCTACTAATATTACCAGTAATAGCAGTAGTGACCCATTGTTTTTTAACACATACACATTTTGGCTATGCTACTCATTTATTCAACTGTATTTTCTTTCTATTAAAAATAGTGATGATTCATGCATAGTTTTGAAAGTGGATAGTTTACATTTTACAATTTGTATTTAAATCTTTTTGTATATACCATCGTGGTATCCAGACAAACACAATCAATATAAACATGGACAAATATTGTATGTGTTCACTTGTCATACATACTGACTAAACTAAAACCATTCCTTTGAAATGGTCGTTTTTGTTATTGTGCAAATGTTAGTCGTTTGAATGTAGCATAAATCATTTACAAGCATATCAATTATTGATAATTTAGCTCAGTAGCATTGTCGATTTACACAGAAATTGCATCAGTGTGTTTTACATGGGTCTAACATTTCCACCTATTTCAATGAAATCATGTATGATGATAGATTAAGTGATACTTAGTAATTACTTATAATTTTTATTAGATTCTCTTCCGTACATATTTGTAAATGTAGTGCATATCGATAAGCTAGTAATTGGTTTACCTTTAGAACATTACGGGTATCGGCAGTGATCACTGAAACCGTCTACATTTATTCACTGAAAGTCCTCTCATTCAACTCATTATGTGTCAGTTTTAATATAAGTACTTTTACAGGAATAAATGATGTGGTCATTTCTAATCTTTTCAGTTAATATTTATTCACTCAGATTCAATTTATGTAGAGTTTGCAAACGAAGTATTATCCATAGTATTTTGATAAAAGAAATTCCAAACACTATCTACTGATTAGAAGTAAATAATCTGATGTTGATCAGCTCTTTATTTTTTCCTGAAAAATTTGATTACAAAAATGTGACGCATGCATCAAGACCAAGGTAAAGCTCGCTCGTCGAATTGATCAGCTATTTGGTAGTTGAACGCTTTAATTCGGACACCTGTTCTGAATTTTATTGAATTAAAAACTTTTGTGTCGTCATTTCTATTATTTTCCATCGTGATGCCTGAAATTGTTTTTGCTGCTGCGAAAAAATTGATTTAAGCTAATTTGAAATCGATAGTTTGGGATTCTATCTATTTTCGCGTGAGTTTGAGAAAAATGACGTCCTCAGAAACTGTTGTGACGTGCGATGTCCGAAATCTGATACTGATACACGACGTGCTACGCCCTAACCTCCCAACTGACTACTTAAGTGAGAACACGAGACTGTACGAAAAAATTTATTGGGCTACCGAGTAATATACACGAATGTTCATCTCTATATATATATTCAACTCCGTCCCTTAGAAAGTCAGTATATTTCTAAGCCAATGGTATCCACTTGTCCTTCTAGTCTCTTTTGTTTGCAATCGATTAACAATTGCATTTGGCTACTTCTGATTGGCTTACAATGTCATAAACCATCATCGGAATATTCATAGAAATCTCTTTTCTGATTTAATTAGGAGATCGAATTTCAGTAAAATGCAATCAATTGCCATGTCATTTTAAATCAATTTCTTTTCTCTCTGAAAAAGTCTCCACTTGTGGACGAAAACTGATAACATTGTATAGCCTAATATTTTGCGCTAGGCTAGTCAGTAATAGATTAATTAATGTTTCTTGAATACATTTACATGATAATTACTTTGTGGGAAACTGTCTACAATGTTTCAACTACGATACCCTACATTGGTGTTTACTCATTTTCATCATTAGTTGATTATATAGCACAGTGGTACGATTAATATATGAGCATTAAATCAAAAGCTGTATGTTAATATTGCAAAAAACCACTTAGCCATGAAATGTATTTCATTCCAAATCCTTTAGTTACATAGATTTTGATGTTTATAGTTGGTCGAATTTTGAAGCGTGTTTATGTGATTATAAACAATTGGACACAATATTAGGGTCTATTTCAATGTAAAAATAAATACCATTTAATTAAATATTAGTAATTAGGAGTTAATACCATCACACTAACTTATCTCCATACTGGTTGTGTTTGTCTCATAATGAACAAGTGATAAACAAATGCAAAATTTGTTTATAAACATTATACTCTGATTATTTTCAGATGATTTGTATTTGATGGTATATATATCGAAATTCATGTTGCCTTTATTGACCGGTTTATGAGATATAAGTCATCTGATTATAAATTTATGTAGGTAAGCCTTAAGGCATATCAAATTTGTGAATACATATATTACAGTAGGTTAAGTAAATTTTAGCTTGTTTAAAATCAGTATAGTCAAATATGTGTGTACGATGATACGTTACTGAATGCATGCGTCGTAACTTGCTAGATTGTCATAATATTCAAAACGAAAAGTTTCACATTTAAGCTATTCATTCTAGAAAACTTGGTATCCCCCAAGATAATCACCAGAGCTGTTTTATTTATACTAAAAGTCAACAACGAAAGAGAACTAATACAATATCATTTAATAAATAAATCCCAACTGCTACAAGCATTACATTTAATAAAGTTCATACTTTCACCCACACATATACGGACGTAAATTCATCCTTAAATGAAATGATATGGTATCACTCGTAATCATATACACTGATAACCTGGGATTTGGAAAATTTCAAATTTATTGATAGAGGAAATTGGTAAAATAGCTAAGAACTTCTGAAGGTGTAGCGTTCAGGCCAATTTGCAATTAGTTGACATCTCGACTGGTACCCTGTTTACCAATATAGACTGTAAACATTGAGCGATTGCGCGGTAAAAAGTCAACGCCTGATAAAAATACAAAAAAAAAAAGAAAATGAATAAGTTCACCAAAACAACTATTCACAGACAAAGTCACCAGAATAGGTTGACTTAATGCTTTTGAATTAATGAAACAGCTCAGTTCTACATAAACACTGATGAAATTGTTCAAAGTGGCAACGTAAACTTTACAATAAAATTACCCAGCCCAGAGTACTCAATCACAAATATTCTCCCTCATTCAATCTTATAGATTTTTCCATTTTAAAAAAATTTTTGTCAAATGCACTCATTAGTTCATCCTCTTATAAATCAAATAATAAAATAGACATTTAGCTGTGGATTATTGATAAAATTATGTTTGTTAATCAAGTTTGATAAAACTACACTCACTGTGATTTATTATACGCAAAAACAAGTGCTCCAACATTTTCATAATTTGTCTATTAAAATTAAAGTTTCTTAATTGATTGACATTTATTTGTTGTTATCTATAAGGTCATATTTGTTTGATCCACTTATTTTACTGACTTAAAAAAAATAATTGTTTTCTAAGAAAACAATGATAATTTATTCGTTGTAGTTTATTTTGTAATGATTGAATTATATTCATCATATCACTATTATTTATAAGGAAGTTTAATTTTATTAATTAAGGGACTATAATAAACGGATGTGATTCAAATGAACAGTGCATAAAATATGATGTGAAAATTCCCATATTTAATAAAGCATATATCACTAAGTGTGTAAGGTGAATAATTGGTAATTGCTACTGGTTATATTTTAAAAAATGCTAGCTTTTTCATGTTGTTTAGTTTTTTTTAAAAGCTAAATTGAACATCGTGTGCGGATCGCCTCAATATTGCTTTAAATCGCAAGCATTATAAGAAGATATAAATAGTGACTAGCTGCGAAATCTAGGACGCGCGTTTCCTCCTATTTAGGACTCATCAGCTGGATGAACTTGCATTTCAGAGTCCTGGACAGAACATGAGAGTTTAACCCAGAGTTGATATTCACTACGGGACTTTAAGCTGCAGGTACATTTAGCTGACGAGTCTTAGATAGGACGAAACGTGTGTTCTAGATTCCACTGCTAACCACCATCCATCTCTACTTATAAAAAATAAAATTGTCTACATCTATTGGAAGTTTTGATTTCACTTTGCAGAATGTAAAATGTATTATATGTAACCGATGTATTGCCTAAATTAACTGTAACTATCCGTTTTTTATATACTTGGCCAACATAATCAGATATACAAAGAAAGAGATTTACTTAGAAAACTGAGCTTACCTGATAATGCATGCAGATTTGTAAGCAGCGATGGTTACTCAAACATGTTGCATGTAGGTGATTAGTCCAGTTTCCAATTAGATCTTGTGTTTGGCTATGCAATCCTGGAAATTTGTTATTTAGATTATCTTATATATTAGGGTGTTCAGTTTTTTAATCATGCAATCATAGGTTTATTCACTGGCTTTCATCAGTTAAGGCAGTTGAGTAGCGTAACTAATCCTGATCTAAAAAGTATGATTCAGAGTTGAGTATATAAACCTGTATTTGTTTTTTAAATTGTGTGTAAAGCATCTATGAAATTCCTGTCTTATTTTTTATCTCTAAAAAACATTTAACAGTATTCAAGTGTACGATCAAATTGTTCAAGTAGATGGCCATAGTTTGGTTGGTGTCTCTCAACAATTCGCAGCTCAAGTACTCCAAAATACTGGGGAAATCATTCAGTAAGTACTTTTTCAATGTCGTTTCTTCACTTATTTCTATAACACTAACTTGCGCCATTTATAAATGACTTCACTATTTTTTTTCACTGTTTCTACACGATATTTAGTCCATGATATCAATACTTCCCTAAAGCCTAAAATCAGAACAAGACAAATTATCACAAAGATTGAATCCATCAGCAGCATTGCAAACGATTCTGAGCCATGTCACTCGGTCTCTAACCATTAGTTAAGGTATTCATGTTTATCCTAATCAAGTAGTCTGAGCCTAATTACATGACTCAGTCTAAGATTTAGTGTTTTCATATACTGATACCATGTCTTGGTTTGGCCGCCCTCATGCTTTCTCCAACATTAACACTATTCCAGTCATCATCACGCGTCCTGTTTATCGGTGAATGTGCTGTGATTAATACATATCCTAAGGATCTCATTTGAGAGGGATTCATTACCTCGCTAACCTGTTTTCCATCTTTAACTAGTACTTTGCGTTTAACCCCAGAATTGCTAATCCGATGGTCCCGAAATATACGACCAGTAGTTCAAAGACCTATGGTCGAATCCTAGTGACCTACTCACAATTATTTTATGGCGTTAATCAGTAGTTTTTTATATAGTTTGGAGGTAATTTTCTTCATGCTTTGATAACAAAAAGAATTACGTTAATAAATCTATCGAATATGTTGATAGATATCCAAAAATAGATTTGTATATATTTGAGATGGTGGAGAAAATTTGTTGCTCAGTTGAATGATTTAGGTGAAATTTTGTTGTCTGTGCTCGACGGTTTGATCGTGTTGTGCTGACAAAGACATTCATAAAGAAAATAACGTTGTTCTCCAGTGGAAGCCTGCCTCTTGATTAGATTGTCCGATTTTCTAACATCGGAAAGCGTGCTAGGCTCGTATAATTTTGAGATGATGGAGAAGATTTGTAGTTCAGGTAGATGATTTAGATGGAGTTTTGTTCTCTGAGCAAACCATCCAGCCCAGCGAAAATTTTCGTCCTATTTGTGTATATGTGTTATTTTAAAAATTTCAACTGCAATCATCCTTTCTTTTTTTTCTGGTTACTTAGTAGCAGTTGTTGTTGTTGTCAACTTCACGTTTAATTGTTTCTTTTCAATGTGTTTTACTTTAGTTTTGTTCTCGCCAGAGAAAAAGATCCACCCAACTCTCGCATAGCAAAGATATTGACAGAAAAACAACAAGAGGAAGACGAAGAGAATAATAAGGAAGGAGAGGAAAAGGCGGTTGAGAAAGAGTCAAAGTTGAATAATAATTCATCTGATAAATAGTTAGTTTTTATCATTTTAATTTTATTGTCAAAGTTATTTTTATCGTTAACTAAGGGTGGGAATGTGATGCCGGGAAAGTTGACAGGGACTGACTGATTTCACAACAAATGTTCTTTTATGTATACAGCATTATTTAGATAAGACTGGTGATAATGATAGCCTTTCTTATATAATGAATATTTTGCCCAGTAACTTCATTGCATTTATTATTAATCCATCCAGTTTATTTATGAATAAATATGGCTGAACACTTGATCGTAATCTGACTGCTAAGTACTAAAGATTCGGATGTACCTAGTGGTATTCACTCTTATCATACAGGGTAATTTACATTTTCATCGATTCATACATCATTCAGCTTACAGACCAACCATTTTTTAGTTTGTGAATAACTAGTTCGATTTTTTTTTGCATTCATACCTGTCCTTGTTATGGTTGTCATCGGTTAACATTTTAAAACGTTAGTAATATATAATTGAAAAATTTCCAATATTTTGTCTGATGAATTTTACAGGAAGGCGCATTTAGATGATCGTTAGTGATGGTCGTGATAAAACCCTACTGTTCCGAGGGTTTTGTGCTAGTTGGCACTAATCAGTAGGACGTATATGTAGTCTTGTCGGGACTGATTTTACCTGGTGGATTGAAATTGTTAAACTGGGTGGTCCGGATTTTAATCTACCGTGGTGCATCAGTTCCGCAAAGCATTAGGTACTCCTTGTTGTTGTGCGCTATTACAAAATGATAGACATAAAGGAGGGGTTCTTTAATCACCTAACATCAAATCACAATTCACTCGATATTGAGTCACAAAGACTAGTGGCCACATTTCAACTCTTCGTTGATAGTCAGTCAGTCAGTAACGACGTAGAACTTCGTACGTACGTACATCAGTTCGAGTTGATAGAATTCAATCAGTACTAGGGACTCGAAAAACATCCTGGGTTCTACGTTGCATACAACTGGCTAGATGAACATGACGCTTGTCTTTGTTCAATGATCAATCAATGTAATGGGATTGACTATATTCAGTTTTTTTTTACCAGTTCACTACTACTGTTGTTTATTAACTTGTGGTTCTTTTTTCTATTTTACTTTTAATCAGTCAAGAGGTCGTGTCTACTCAGACCGATAATCCTGTAAACGTAAGTTTCTTTTAAAAAATGTTTAGTGCATTTCACTAATTTCCTAATTTGTTTGCGTTCACTACAAGTACGTAGAATGTATGTAAATTATGACTTAATCCAGTTGTTTGTTTATACATTTTTATGACCTTATTTAATTAAGCATAAAAGAACAATAAGTATAATAACAATATTATTTAATAACTATGGAATAATTTTAGACGGTATACTTTTCATCAGCGTTACGTCAACAAATTAGCACAACAGAGCGATAAATGGTGTAAAAATAATGATATCACTTGTACCTACAACAAAAATTCATAGAAAACAAATTAGATTAAAAATAAGATATTCCTGACTTACAGAACGGTGGTTAATCTTTCCTTGCCCTGGTGACAAATATTCCTTCACTGTACCTTAAAATTTTTTTCTTTTTTCTTTTGCATTTATTACATCATTAACTCTATTTTATTTTTTCAACTATCTTTCAAATTAATAATCTTTCAACTGAACTCTAATCACTATATTCCTATAAATGTTTATTCATTATGTAATCGATTGTTTCTAACCCACTTTTGAACTGTTGTCACAATTAATCTTGTAGAATATTCTTTCACATTAGGTATATATTTACAATATTCAGTTAGCAATTTAAACCCATTATGTAATTATGATTTTTAAATATCACAGGTTGTAAGCAGCTGACGAGAACCTACGAAATAAAATGAATTCATGCTATTCTGCTAGAATCTTTGTTTTTGCTCTTTTCAGAATGCTCAGTAATAAATCAGTCAGTCAGCTACAACGCCAGTAATAAATAAATTAGAGTTTATATGGAATAGTTTATAATCAATATCACTTTAAGTCTCATGATTGTCCAACTAGAAATCCTTCATATTTTTATAATAGATCAGTGGTTATTAGTTTAAGAGGATTGATGGTATATGTATTTGGCTGGGAACCCTTAACTCTATCATTAAATATTCTATTCTAATAGTGAACATATTGCAAATTGAGATGGTTGGTATGTGTTACACATGTTTAAACATTCTCTACCTTTGAGTAAAAGTTTATTGAATTGGAGGTGTTAGACGATTATCTGTTTTTAACATGTGAATTAGTCAACTATTTCCCCCCCCCTCCTACCTCAACCAACCCAGTCCATATAGTATTGATAAATTATTCTATCTTCTATATTGATTTAACCTATAGTAATTGTAATTATTTATTCCAAATGTTAACTTCTGTTTTATATCGATTATATTAAGGGTAAATTGACTAATAATTGGACAAATCAATAAAATATTTTTGTCTGATATAAATTAGACAATGCTTATTCATACAATAATTTTCATTCTACATATTTCCGTCTATCTTTCTCTATATCATTTATCTTACCATAAAATATGACTCATTTTCATCTTATAAAATACTACTTATTATCATAGATCTACAAAATTCCTTATATATATATATATATATATATATATATATATATATATATATATATTATTCACTAAGAGAAATTGTTATTTAATTTTATGCATAACATGTGAAATAATGTTTATTTCTATTTTTATTGAAAATTGAATGTTTCAGTGATATTTTTCTTTTATTATAGTTAAAACAAATTTCAAAAAAAATTATTTTCATGATCATAATATTATGTCTACCCTATTTCTATGTCAGCATTGTTGATTAGTTCTCGGTCTTTGTCCTTGTTGTTGATGTTGTTGTGGTTATTATTATTATCCTTTATAATCTATTCAATATATGACATTTCAGTATGGGGGTTGTGGAGATTGTTAAGGTTTTGGTTGAGATCATGAATTAATTGATGTTAGACCACCGTTGGAAACCTGGAAGCACTGGACGGCCGTTTCGTCCTAGTACGGGACTCCTCAGCAGTGCGCATCCACGATCCCGCATCCCACGGGATTCGAACCCAGGACCTACTGGCTTCGCGCCTGAGCACTTAACCATTAGACCACTGAGCCGGCATCCAATGGTGTTAGTGTCTAACATCAACCAATCCACGAAATTGCGCGACCACCTTCCATTGTACTGAGGTAGATATCTGTCTACCCGACACAGATTAGCTCCACTGGTCACGACTTCTCACTAGAACTCCGAGAATTCCCTCACGAAGCTAGTCACTAGTGAGCACATGTTAATTATCAGTATGGGGGTTGTGACATTTCAATTCACTTAATAATTGATTATTTCTTCTATTCTTGCCCTATTATCTATTTGTTTCACTCATTTATGAGCTTAATCTCCTAACTCTTTCATATCACAAGAATTATTTATTTTATTTTATTTTTCATCTTCTTTTGAAAACTCTAATATTTACTAGTTAAAATGAAATGAAATGTAGGGAAAGAGATAGATTTATAATAAAATGTAGGTTGGGTTAGAATTGGTTGAGTTTGTACAGTTAGTTTTTTTGTTCTTTTTTTGGTAACCCCACCCAATTACTAAACTAAAAAAAGTCACGAGATTAATAGACATTAACATATGTAGTATTATCGTTTTATAATGCATATTTTAGCATTTTTTGTAATGTCATTTATTCATTTATGTACATATTACGGTTGTTTATCAGTTGAGATTTGTTCAACATACTCTTATGATGCATCAGACTGAGTAAAAATTATTCCTCACTTTATTATTATTATTCCCAAGTACACTGCTTTTTTATAATTATATGATAGAACATTTTTTTATAATTAGCTAACAACAGTATAACTAAATGTACTTATCGTTTAAAGTATTGCAAAACATGGATGTGTCAACGGATATCGTGTCATCATTGTGATGTTTATTTAACCTACTAACTTTTTAGTAACTTATTTTATTTTTATGTTTAGTCCGTTTTACTCTATTGAGTTTTCAATTCTTATAATGATAATTATTCACTTATAGAATAAAGTAGCTCAGTGGATAAGATGTTCAGTTTTCAACAATTAAATCCCAGATTTGAATCCTTTTTCATATATCTTGTTTTAGGCAACCAAGTAGTATATCACTAACCGTCATACTTAGATTATAGATCGAAGTTTAGTATGACAATCTGTACCTGATGGATGGCATGATCATAATAATAATCTATTCAATTTAACAATAACAGATGGTTAGGTAACATTTATATAGGATGATGTTGATGGTTATCCAGAGAACCATCACTGCCTTATTTCGGTTGGAATATTTGTCTGTTTTTTTTTTGGGGGGGGGGTTCTTACACTAAAACATAAACTCGTTCTTTTGGTGATCGTATATTTTCTTTTACATTTTTTGGTCAACAAGTCACAATCTAATGATAATTATATTATTAGCGATCATGTTAAATTCCAAGACCAGAAAAAATACTGTAAATACGTCAAAATAATCATTTAAAGGTTTTGTTCATTGGCCCTGTATGGATATTCTGTGCAACAAATCAGCAAAATTAGTGACGTTACACTTAACTAAATGTGTCTAGTTTTCATAATAAGATAAGGTTCACTTACTTGCTTACACCTGTTACCCCTCGTGGAGGAACATGGGCCGCCCACTAGGATTCTCCATCGAAATCTGTCCTGAGCAGTCTTTTCCAGCTGTCTCCAGTTGCTATTCATTCTTTTGAAGTCTGCTTCCTTGGTCTTCCTCTTTTTCCTTTCCCTTCGAGATTCCACATTAGTCACTTGGAGAATAATTCTAGTTGCTCACGTCTTTCCAAAAAGATGATAAAGTTTTGACGATTGAATCCCCTAACTCACAGAACTTAACCTCATCAAAATATGTATCTGTAGTGATTGAGTTGGATAGTATTATACTCGTTTTATCCGAAGTGTTGTTTTCAGTCCTATGAATATTCTTGAATTTTATGAAAATAAGAAATTCTTATTTCATTGTTTAATGATATTAATAGTTATATTTTTATTGTATGTTTTACCATGATTCTTTATTTGTTTTTCTCTTTCACCAATAACTATTTAATGAATAATTAAAAACGTGAAATAGATATATACGGATAAGTTATTCACTTTGAATACCTTATTAGCTCATACTTAATGATCGGAGTTTTTGGTTTAGGAAAAAAGAACACTCCATAAATATTTATATGTTATTGCCCTAACACTTACCAATTGATGAGAATTGTGGCTCAAGGATGTATACATAAATATCTACTTAATAAATAAATGCCATAATAATGATATAATTTGTTTATTAGTCATTTTTTCGGTAAGCATATTACATGTATACATGTTTTTGTGTGTTTGGTTTTTCAGTTATCAGGCGGTGATTCTACCGAAGCTTTACATAATTTGATTGCTGTAGCTACACGATCATTGAAAGAAGCTAAACAATGGAACAAGGATGATGATGCGGAGGAGGAGGACGAGGATGTGATAGCTGTTGATGAAAGTAGTGTAGATTATGATATGGAATATCTTAGTGTTAATAATAATGATACACACGATTCATCACCTGTAAACAGTCTTTTTCAACAGTTTAGAAAATCTTCAAATGGTAGTGATAATGTAAAATCATTAAATGGTTATTCCACTGGCTTAAATTATCAACAATCTAGCCCTCGATCAGCATTAAAAGGTACAGCAACTGCAGCATCGACTCGTCGACGTAACGAAGCTATCATGGAGTATATTCGTCAAGCTGTACTTATCCAAGATAATGTATATTTACCAACTGATCTAATTAATAAAGATGACTACACTAATAAAAGTCAAAATTCAGATATAGCTACAGACTGTGTTAGTACAGTGTCTTGGGCACTAGCCAGTGAATTGCATGATCATAGAATTCAGCTACGAAAATTCCAATCACGTATTCGAAATCTAGAACAACGTGTAAGTTATTTAATCTGTATATATATACTTTATTAGTACAATAATAGTGTAATATTCATTCTAATTGATTAGATATCCATAGCACATTATACCATACAAATGAAATTGATATCCTCACTTTCATTTTAGATACGATTTCACATTGTCAATAAAAATTAATCTCCTAACTTTAATTTTAATTGTATGTTGATAACTCAGTTGTTGGTTAAGTAAACATTTAAACTATCATTTCTATAATACGAATATAAATGATAATTGTCCCACAAATTACTTATTTTCGGTTTCTTTTTTCAAATCTCATATAGTTGACTGCTCAAGAAGCTGCAGCGGATGAAGCGATAGAAAGACTTTGTCTACGTTGTCGTCATTTGGAATTAGAGCTTAAACAATCACAACAAAAATGTTCACAACTAATCATGTCACCAAAACAGCAGAATATCTCAAACTCTAATAAGTTAGTTTAGTTTTACATTATTTTTACCCTAAATAATGTCTATCCTTAGTGCTTATATATATATATATATATATATATATATATATATATATATATATATATATATATCAATTATTTGGTTATCTGCAACGTAGGACCAGGCATATATATGCATCGGTCCAAGTTGCCATACCTCATCAGCGCAACAAAATGAATACCGAATTCATAGTAGCAGTTATTTCAGTTGTAAGATAGGACACAGCGAGAAATAATTAGTTGGTAGAAAGAAAGGTAGAAAGTAATTTTAATCTCATGGTTTAAATGGAGACAAAGAATGTATACACCTACGCCATTGTGATCGATTCTGAACCATGTCACCCGTAGTCTCCAACCAATGGTTACGATAATTGTGTGGCCCCCAACCAAGTAACATAGGTCTACCAACATAGCTCAGGCCAGAAGTTAGTGACTTTATGAACTGATGCCACGTTTTGGTTTGACCGCCCCCAACTTTGTTCCATCCATCTCCAACACTAATCAGCATTGCGCACTGTGGTAATCGGTGGTTGGGCATATGTACCATATGTTATATATATATATATATATATATATATATATATCTGATGTTCCATCTTTTTCGTTAAATTTCAGCTACTCTCCTGGAGCTAATAACTTATGTAATCCAATATATCATTCAGTAAGTACATACAATGTATAAATTACTTATTATAAATTTATACTGTCCCTCTACACTGCCGACTCCCTATAGTTTAACAATGTTGAATAATTCCATATTTGTTAACAAATTGAGTACCTATGGCTTCTAATTAGCAATGAGTTTATTACATCATAGTTGTATAAAGATTAATTTCATGCGAAACAGATTATATTTGGGGAGGATAACATCTTTTTTGTGAATTTTCTTTTGAGTCATAACTTCATTGCTGCAGATGTCGGATAATAAGTTTATAATTGATATTTTGAAATTATTTCCTTTTCTATACCTGCTTTGAATTGCTTACCTTGCTGCATATCACTTCCTTAAGCCTTTTTTATTTCTTGCCTAATCTATTTTGAGGATAGCGACACTTTGACTCTTAAGTTTCATGTAAACACTATGTAACACTATATAACATAATTTGATATCTCCCCACTAAATAATAATATCAAAACTGATCTGACCAACCTCATGAAAGCGGCACGTTTTCTGTAATCTAATAAGTTATAATTATGTCTGTTTAAAGCAACTCGTGACTATTGAACGGGTATGGGAGCAGTGGATTCCAGTAAAGTGGTTAAAAGTAGATCTATTCTTCTTTTGACAGCACTAGGAATGTAGTATTTTACCCTTCATGTCAGCATCGGTAAACTTCAGATTCAATTCTGTTAATTATATGTTTTCCAGCCTAGTGTTGTTTTTCGTTTTCTTGTAACCATTTTTCTCTTTTATCTCACTCTCATACTTGGGTTAATTCAAAACTCGCCGGCTTTTTTACGAATAACTTTCTTATTACCATATGGTAAGTGCTTCATCTATTTCTCACTCACATCATCCCTATTTTCCACCCACCCCCTATATATTACTGTTCATAACTAATTACTGAGTAAAACTATGTTCATTTTTAAGGTGAATCGTTGTTTCCCTATTGATTCTATTAATAATTTATATGATTTGTTTTATGTTGGCATTTTTTACTTTTTTCTTGTAGACTATTGTAATTATCATATCAGTAAATAATATTCGTAAATCTTATTTTTGCCTTTAAGTGATAGTTGCTGACCTTATGAGGTAGTCCTTAGCATAAATATGAATGATTATCGCCTCAAATTCTACAAAAGTTGTACATGGTTACTACTAAGTTAAATAGTTGAACTGTTTTGTGATTCCCATTTTTGTCATATATTCACTAATATCACTTGATCGTGTTAAATAATATGGTATTATCGTACTGTTTTTGTGACTATGTAGTTGATGACCTTATTGCTAGAACTGTCTATAATGTCAACTATTATAAAATCATTTATTCGAAACTGACTTCATCTAATCTAGTTTAGATAGCCTAGTCTAGGTACATACAACTTTTGTTATCCAAAATTGAATATATAAGGAATTTGATGAATTGGTTTCTTATAAACTATTTACTTGAACTACATTTAGCAATCATAATCTATCACATTAGCCTTGGTATTTATAATGTTTTGAAATAAGAGTGTTGTTTACGTAAGAAACTCACCACTGTGTTTTTAAGAATACATTTAATGGTGGATGTAATTCTCTCCACTTTCAAATATTATTATCATCATTATTATTGGCATTCAGTCAATTTCTCTCGTTACCTGTTTCCTTCTTATTGTATATATTCTCATTCAGAGAAAAAAGATTTATAGTGTTTATCTCTATCATATTAACTTCATTACGTATATTAGCGTTAGATATCGTCTTTTATCATTAAACTTTTAAATTGACCTATATTTAACTGATATCATTTTAATTATGATGAATTGTGCAGAATAATTATCTGTGAACTACATATTACCCTTTGTTAAAGTTGTTTATATCCTGATTTTAAAATTCAAATCTCTTTGTTTTTCTTATTCATTTCAAGTCACTGTTGAATGCCTCAACGTACAAAGATGATGATGGAGTGGTGGTGTCTAGAGAAAATCCTGGTAAATTTTAGTTAAGACTTTCTAATCTTATATATATATTTGTTTATGGATTTCTTTGACTTATTATTTATTGAACATTGGCAAATATATTATATACAAGTGATATTTAAAGCAAAGATGAATGTGACATTGATAAATCACAGCAGGTAATAATTTATTTATCTCTGTAAAAGTATTTGTACTATTGATCAATCGACGTGATCTCCTATTGCTTGGTGTTCATCAATGACAATTGTTCAAGATACTCTGCTTATTTTTCTTTCTGTACACGATTTATGTAACTATATAGATTTTTCACTCATCTAATTATTAATACCCTACTGTATACCATTAATTATGCAATAAGGATATTTTGGATAAACAATATTAATGTCATTCATATCTAATATTAACAAGTAAGTTTCAAACTCGCCAATACGTGACCCAATTTTAAAACTTAGGTTAATTTTAATTTGACCATTTATTCTCTGAAGAAATAGTTTACACTGAACCACTAAACGTTAGAAAATCTAATTTTTCCACTCGTTTGGATAATACAACTATATTATTTTTATTATCAGAAGGGGTTTTGTGGAGATTTTAGAAATTTTCACTGATTAAAATCATGAGTCAATTGAAGCTAGACCACCATGGAAAACCTGGACAGCCATTTCGTCCTAGTATGTGACTCCAGCAGTGCGCATCCACGATCCCGCAGCCCGCGAGATTCGAACTCAGGACCTATCAGTCTCGCGCCAGGCACTTAACCAACTAGACCACTGAGCCGGCATCCAACGGTGTTAATGTCTAACTACAACCAATCCACGAAGTTGCGCCACCGTACACCATTGTCATCAGTGAGCAGATATCTCACAACAGACCTGGTTGAACTTCACTGGTAACGGCTTCTCACTAGAACTCTAGACCACTGATCCGGCATCCAACGGTGTTAATGTCTAACTTCAATTGACTCATGATTTCAATCAGTATATTATTTTTATTTATTACAATCTACCCAATGCTGAATTTATTTGAAATTATCAAGTCAAACCTTAGTAATGATACATGCTATGTGTAACATAGTTGGTTAATTTTTTTTTTCTTTAAAAATCATTAAGTGGAATATACAGCTTAATTTTGTATTTGTTTATATCTGTATTGAATTAATGATAAAGTGAATTATATAAAGTCCAACTATGTAAATAATTGTAGCCTAATTAATAAGTATTGTTTACATAACATTCATTATCTATATGTTATTCCATACTTTTTATGTTAGTTACAAAACAATATGATTTTGTTTTGTTTTTCTTTTTGTAATTTTTCTTTTAAAGTTCATTTTCTAGTTTTTAAATCAATTAAATCTTCTCATTTACAGTCATTGACAATTTCTTTATTCTTGATCTTTAAAAGTAATTACGTTTGTTTTTCTTTCTGTTCTTCTTATTTCTAATACTGTCTATAGTTATTTGAACTATTTCAATAGATATTGTTGAAATTTGTCTCTCTTACATAATAATGCTGGCATTTTAATAGAATAATAATAATAATAATAAGCATAAATCTGTCTTAACTATAGATTAAGTGAAATACCATATATTGGAAATAGTTACTGTGATTATTTGAATTCATATGTTGATCATATCTGATTAGCTTACTTTTAGACTGTATATACATCAATAGTATTGTAAATATTACATTATTGTTGTGTGTATTATATTGTCCACATACTGTATAGTTCCATAGGTATCATGAATTACACAAATTTATATTTGGGTAATCATTGATAACGTTTTTTCATCGATTTCATTAACATTGAATTTTGTTGTTGACGTCAATCTTTATTGTTAGTGTTGTTGTTTTTTCTGTCTCTTGGTGTACACATTCAAAAATTATCATTTATTGCCTCTATTATTTGGCTTCCTATTTTTAAGACTATATAATTATGTAATATCTTATGGAACTCGTCGTTACATCAGTATAATAAGGATTTTAATAGAAGTATAGATGAATATTGTACATCCTCTCAGTGATGGTAAAAGTAAAGGATCGTATATATTTCGAGTGGAAATCAATAAATCTTGGTCCGAAATAACATTATAGTTTCGATGTAATAACTTCATTGATTATGAAAAGGCATTTGACAGTGTGGATAGGAGAACGTTATGGAAACTTCGACACTACGGAGTTCCTCAGAAGATTGTCAATATTATCCGGAACTCATACGACGGACTACAATGTAAAGTCGTGCATGGAGGACAGCTGACAGATGCATTTCAAGTAAGGACCGGAGTCAGACAAGGCTGTCTACTCTCTCCCTTCCTCTTTCTTCTGGTGGTCGACTGGATTATGAGGACCTCGACATCTGAGGGAAAACACGGAATACAATGGACAGCTTAGAACCAATTAGACGATTTGGACTTCGCAGATGACCTAGCCCTCCTATCGCATACACACGAACAGATGCAGATGAAGACAGCCAGCGTAGCAGCAGTCTCTGCATCAGTAGGCCTTAGCATACACAAAGGGAAAACGAAGGTCCTCAAATTCAAGGCGGAGAACAGCAATCTAATCACTCTTGATGGCGAAACTCTGGAAGATGTAGAATCCTTCACATATCTGGGAAGCATCGTCGATAGACATGGAGGTTCAGATGCAGACGTAAAGGCGAGGATTGGCAAAGCAAGGACAGCATTCCTACAATTGAAGAACATATGGAGCTCAAAATAACTTTCAACCAATATCAAAGTGATAATCTTCAATACGAACGTCAAGGCAGTTCTACTGTATGGAGCTGAAATTTGGAGAACTACAACAACCACCATCAAGAAGGTACAAGTATTTATAAATAGTTGTCTACACAAGATACTCAACATCCATTGGGTGGATACCATCAGCAACAGCCTTTTGTGGGAGAGAACAAATCAGCTTCCAGCTGAAGAAGAAATTAGGAAAAGACGATGGAAATGGATAGGACATACATTACGCAAATCATCAAACTGCATCACGAAACAAGCCCTAACTTGGAATCCTGAATGGAAGCGAAAAAGAGGAAGGCCAAAGAACACATTACGTCGGATAATAGAAGCAGATATGAAAAGGATGAATAATGACTGGAAGGAGCTGGAAAGGATTGCCCAGGACAGGGTTGGATGGTGAATGCTGGTGAGCGCCCTATGCTCCTTCACGAGGAGTAACAGGCGTAAGTAAGTAATAATTACTACTTGTATTAAGTTGACATTAAAATAAATTACCGTTCAATTTTTTCAATCTACTCTCTAATACCATTAAAATAAATTTTTCGACTCGAATCTTTTTCATCTTAAAAGGTTAAGAACCTGTTGTTGTGCATGGTTGACTACTTATAAAGCCTAGAGCTTGTTATAATTGTGCAACTTTCATTTGAATAATCGAATTTCCAGTTAGTGAATAATAAATAAGGTTAATTAGATAGGATTGCTAGAAATTCTGTCACCCTTACACCATAAGCATTTTTAATTCCATCAACTTCTCAATACTCTCTAACTATCCAACATTTTTTTATTAAAAATTTCAGTTTCACAAAATTAGTTCTTATTCAACTTTATAGATTATTCAAATTTGTAAATAAATGTGTTTCTGAATAATTAAGAGAGAAATTGAACTATTGAGATAACCTAAATATTATATCCCATGTAGCGGTTGTTACACGTTTCTTTTTATAAAGACTGTATATGCTAAATAATCAGTTCGATTGGCCATTATCCTGTTCTTGAATGTCATTGTTTGTCCTGATATGTTTGAGTTTTTTTTTTTGACAAATCAAATTTGTGTACATTTGATACCCTGAATACCTCGGATAAATGATTTCAGCTCTAAGTCCGGTAGAGCAAATAATCTGTTCCACCACAAATTTGTGCACATTTTATCGTTATAAACAATTTGTTAACATAATAACATCATTACTATTATTATTGCTTAATAGTAATATAATATTCATTTTAAGTACTGACTAATGTTAACTGTTTATCGCTTTTTTTCCCTTTTTCTCTTCTTTATACAACAGTTGAATTTAGCTAACTTCCAAAAAATCAAATTGCATGTGATTTTATGTTTGTTCGCTTGAGTTTCGTTTTTTTGTTCATTCGTTAATTATCAATTATTGTTTACTTGTCCTTTCGACATTGATAATGTTTTTACTGTGAAATACAAACACATGCCTTTAACTGCGAGCAAACAAATCAAAAAGTGTGTGTGTGTAGGGGGGGGGTAATACACAAGATACATTGTTGACTAAAAAACTGTCAAATTATTTTTTACTGCAGAAAAAACATCCATCAATTTTTCGATGTTTCTTTACTCCCACTCTTTGTTTATCCTAGTTTTTTTTCTATGAATTGTGCGTAATTTTCTTTATTCAGTTTAATCTCACCAAGTTCACTATATATAGATTTATAGTGTTGATGAAATGTAGATGACTATCCATCGTTGTTATGCTTAACGCTGATTAACATTTAATTGATTGTACTGTACATAAAGCATCTTCTTTCTTAAACATATATAAATACTGCATGCCCACAACTCTATTTTTTTTCTTGTAAGAAAATCGAAGAATGATGCTTCTTTAACCATGTGAATATTGATACTTACAATAAGGCTATTGTTTACCTTGAAATAAATTTAGTACGATCAAAAGGTCTCTCAATCTGTATTTCCTTTACTCAAATCCCTGAAAAATACAGTTCATATACATTCGTAGGTAGAGTTCATTAATTAACATTAATTGTTTTGATTACTGTTCTATTTAACTTGTCTACTTTCTGATTTTACTGTAGACAATTACATCTAGATTTAGTGACTAATTTATCATTCATACCCAATTATGTCTATTTTTCTTTTTTTTTTTAAATTCTTTTCTTCCCAATTTTTGTTTTGTCAAGTATGTGATGTATGTCTGTTCATTTTTAAATTCACTCGTCTTTTTGTTCTCCGCCTTGTTAATTCCAATCATTATAGTTATCATTACAATTATTATTACTACCTTTATTGTTATGAATATTAGTATTATTACTATTAGTAGCATTGTTAATCATCAATGTGCCTTGTAACCTGTAAACAATTATATAAATAAATACTTGTTTCAATTGTTAGTTTCACTGTGTTTTTTTCAAATATAAACTGGATGAATAATTAGTTTGATAAATAAGAAGACAATAAAATCCCGATCGCTTTTTAATACTTTACAAAACAACACTTCAATCCGCTAATCAATTCATCAGTTTGTTACAGAGATACAAATTCGTTTTTTTTTAAATTAATTTGAATATCCAGCTGTGTATCAATTTCTGCTCGTAGAACGGTGAATCAGTAGTTAAGGGATTTGACTTTCAACTATTAAGTCGCAGGTTTCAACCTCAGTCCTTTTACTTTGGCTTAGATAACCGAGTAGTTAATCATTAGCCGTCACTTAGAGTATATGTACCTGTCTAATAAGTGAAATAAATTAATCAAAAGGGTTATTGAATTTGCCGGTTGTAGGACTTTAAATATTACCGACTTTGACAGGAAATTATTAAGCTGACCAATTATTTAAAGCGATTGGTTTGTGTTGGCATTATGACTAAGTTCCACTAAATTGGTTTGTATCGAGCTGTTTACTTTGTTGAACACATTCCGATGTTGCTAAAATTGTTAATAGTACCTACATAAATCAATCATTCTGAATAAGTTAAATTCTGTTCTAATTTAGATTATTTCAGTGCATGATTACTGTATAGCTCTACAGTTAAATGTGCACAAAATAGTGCGTTGTTGTTTTTTGTTCTTTATTAATCAAGTACAAATACTTCATGGTTTTAGATAACTATGGCATCTTATTTGAAATAGCCGAAACAATTAATTGACAATATGGTCACGATTTGTTGTTAGTTACCAACTCATTATATCATAAATTTAATTGTTTACTCACTGTGAATTATACCAATAACAAAGGTTAATTCAAGTTAAGAGTCTCGTAGATAATCTTCGATTTTACTAGTCGTTTTTATGTTTAGTGCTGAACTGCAATCGGTTCACACATCGAAATAGTTTTTTTTCGGATTGCTCTGATCACATCTATTAGATAACTTCCGAATATTTATCTCACATGAGGTTACAGAGCGGTGAATTTACTGCTAATTTATCTCCGTATAATTATATAAACTAACTTAAATCATTTAGTTTGGTGAATACTAAGTATTGGCATTTTATGGGACTGATTAACAATAATTTGGACAATTATTTGATTATTTATTTGAATTAATGTGTAAGTCATCTCAGATGAAACAGAGATTTTCTTGGTAATCTGTTCAACTTTTGGGTCACAGCTTTATCACATCAATAATGGGTTTGGCAGGTGGGTAGTATCAGTATTTACTATAAACGACCACACAAATTTATACGTTGGTTACTGAATTTCACTTATATTATTATCCAGAATTCACAATTTTCAGACTTATGTTGTTATGTGAGCGTTAACAAATTCGGTCAACAGAGTTACATTTTAGTTATACACTAAGTGTTAGAATAGCTGAGAATAATGCTCGAATTCTATGGTGTGAAAAAAATTCACTTTCACGCAAGCGAACTGTACTCAGTACGTGATTTTAACCATTAAACGTAACTGAGGAATATCCCTATTCAGATTATCTATTTTCATGAATACAAATAACCTAAGTAGCATTTCCACAATATTTATATCTCATCATCAAATTATCCTTGGATAATGGGTATTTCTAACGGTAAAATTGATATATTAGCAATGTTTATATTATAAAACCAACTTATTTATTTAGAATAGAGACCAATGATAAATTTTGTATGATCTAGGATAATAACTCTACATAGTACATTTTAGCAAAATCTTGTTAAAGGCAGAATTACGTCTAAACTTAGATTAAATATGTAAATAGTAACATAATGTCTCTACTCAAATAACTGATGAGTTCAACGATGTGTTTCCCCATAACTTAATAGAATTTCTCCATTCAAAAATCTGTATAGACCTTTAATTCAAAAAAAGCATTTGACTTTAGGATATAGTAGCAGTGTTTCAAATGCTTTTCGACCTATTGTTCACATCATATTTCTCATCTCTAGAATATTTCATTTACTTTAACCAATCAATCATGCTACGGTATTACTACTACTTTGAAACAGTTCTATAATTGTTCCTTCTTTTTTTAGTTTGTTTCTTTCGCCTCGCTAATTTATTTTTACGGCCTTATGAGATTTTTTTCATACCAGGATTCCTAAACCATTTGTGTTTCTAATTATGCAATTTTTCGTTCAATATAATATTCATTTTAATATAAGTTGAAATTTCTATAGATATATGTATGATTATTGCACATTGATTGTTGAACATTAACCGTTGGTTATGAATTATACTGGTATCTTATCAATATTAAGAAAGAAAATCAATTCACCATATGTAATGTAGAACAGATTCCTTAATATTCAATTGATATTACCATTTTGCATTGTGTTGCATGATAGAAATTTTAGTTTTCTTTGTTTTTAATGCATAAGAAATGGCTTTCTATTGCAAATATTGTTATGATGATAATGATATGTTGAAATGTCTTGCTTGCTTTAATGTTTTTCAAAAAAAAGAATGTTTTAACTGAATGAGTTATGTATTATTTTAAGCAAAAGTATTCAAATAGACTATTTCTACTTTGATTTTTCTAATTGAATTCATAGATGTTGTATTGAAGAAATGTTTTGGTTTAACGGATACTGATGAATCTATAGTTTCAATTCCAAATCATGTAAGTCCCAAGGTGTCGGTGTATGGACCTTACTCTTCTGATGATCAAGATAAAGCTGAAGTGAACGGTTCTACTGATAACCCTGTGAATGTTGTACATGATGGTTATTCAACTACCGTAGAAGTACCATTATTTGTTAGACAAATGGAAGATCGAACTCGAATTGTCAGTTCAGGTGGTTTAGCTCGTCGACGTCCACCTACAAAAATTGTTGTAAGTTTGATTAATTTTAAAATTACAACTGTTCTGTATTTTAATAAACGGACTTCTTTGAACGATAATAAATCATATATTACATGTGTACATACATCTGTAGACGTCTGTATACTTACACGTAAGTTGTGCTAACTCACAGATTATTATTTTTTTCTTCAGCTTCAGTTCGCCTTCTCACTTAAAGCGCATTTTAGCACATCATCGCTGAGAGATTTTTGTTCATTCATTTTCTTGGTGGCTTTAGTTTATTTCTATGTCTTAGAATCATTGAGTATAGTTCAATTATTTAATAAGCATAGTCAATTTTAGGCTTAGAACACTGTAAAGTTTGTAAATCAACTGATGAGGTCATAAATCGTCACTGATTTTAGTAGTTGTAAAATAAAATACACATACTTGCTAATTGTCATTTGCTCTATACGCACCTACTAATAAATCTTTGAATTTTTTTCTGGTTCTTTATATATTACTGTTTATTTCTAGTTTCCAATTATTTCTTCTAGCCCTTTACTATTATTGCTATCAACATTTTTACTTATTTTTAGTATAATTTAAACCCCATTACACATCGGTAACAGGATCATATATTATCTTGCCATTAGTTCCATTGGCTCGTAATTTTCTCACATAATTAATTAATAGCCCAGCAACTTAATGTCAAAATATAATGCACGTGATGACCAGTGACTTTGACCAGTGGTCACATTGTATATATATATCCAGCTCAAAGAACAAAACTCCACCAAAATCATCCACCTGATCTACAAATCTTCACCATCTCATTATATATATATATATATATATATATATAAAGTTTCTGATTGATAATCTCGTTGAGATTCATTTCAAAATAACTTTCTTCCCCATTTATGTGTATTTTGTTTATTTATTGATATATTTCATATGTCCATCAATCTCTATGTACATGTTGATCTCTTTGTGTTTCTGACTCGTTAGGTTGCTTTCATACCTGTCATTTCATCAGAAACTTAATTGCAAATCATTTATTTATTCTAAAACACCTAAATTTTCTCCTTATATATCTCTCTTTTCATTTTATGACATGTATGTGTAAACAATGCTTTTATTATTTGTTGAATAGCTATTTCAGTAGAAAGTTCTTTCTTGAGTTGAAACGAAATTTTTCTTTGTTTGAATTGCTTTACCAAATTTTCTTTACATCTCAATATGTTTCTTTCGTGTCTCCAGTTTTTTTGTTCGTCATATGATATGCTATTTCATGACTGTTTTCCTTAACACTAGTTCTAAGAATATCCAATTAATTCTATCTATATGGTTTCATATCTGTTCACGAACATGGAAAAAACTGTCGATGAGCACTTATTGGATAAATGGATACACTAAACTTAATTTATACAGTTGTATTAAGGCAATGCCACAAATTGAGCAACATTATTTAGTCTTATTTCCATAGATCCCGATCACTGTTGATCTCAATGAAATAGTTGCTCTCAAATCAGCCATTCTTGGGTTTGATTAGATTTTTAATAATTGTACAGGCTTATTGTTTTTGTAAATCCCAGTTTAAACAAAATAATCTTGTTTACATTCAAGCCGAAGTACTAAATTTTTCAATGTTAATTATAATTTGGCTTTAAAACATATACATTATTATATTAGGATGGCTCACATAAAGCACAGAAAAGCCGAAGAGATTCTACCCGATCAGAACCAGATGGAACTTTCTAGAATATCTACATGGCATGCTATGATCGAACAATTAAGTAAATTAATACTTGAGGACTGTCTGTAGTACTAAGAACTACAAATACCTCTGTTTTTCTGTACATTTTTGACTCTTACCCAATAACCGCTTCTCCTGCTACTCCTGTCTTTTGATTTATGACTGTGGGTTTCTACGCGTTTGAGTGCTGATAGTTATAATCAAGAAAAGGACGTATCGTGTTGATTCTCGTTAAATGAGTTAAGTAATAAATTAGGTTACGAAAAAAATATTTGATAATCACCTACAAATCTGACACCAAAATATGTTCTTCCTAATAGACCCATTGTAAAATATGATAAATGTTCTATCAAATAATTTTACAGTTTGCTATGATTCTATCATGAACATTGATTATTTCATATGACTTAGATTCACAGCTTCTTAAAAGATAACAGCACCTGAAGATTCTTTCACACAAACTGTCAACATCAGTAATGTATGGTTCAAATAAACTTTAAAATCATATTCAATATCATTCTATTAGTTGTAGAAAATTTTTTACATTTTCTATATACAATGTAGTTATTGCTATTTAGGATAATGATTTCATAATGCGTTGAATGAAACTATCAGAATATATTATATTCAATAGTGATTGGTTTATGAGAAAGATGAAAATGACATTTGCTTTAATTGCAGTGAACCAATTTACGAATAAATCAATTTGATAAATATTACTGATCTAAAGAATTACGTAAGACTAGTCAAGAATTATTGTTAATAAGTCGGTATTATTCAATCTTTATCTTATTCTTTCTATGGCATACATACTCATTCTTTACTGTCTTATTTCACTCATACAAATTAGTACTTTCTTTTTGTACTAAATAAACATTTTAGTTGATATATTAAGTGATATTCATTCAACTTCATGTTTCAATCAATTACCTTTAAATGTACAACTTTTTGCTGTGTCTGCATTTATGTGTTTAAGAACATCAATTGATATTTATCAATCTACTTCGTTTTAATTACCGTTTTCTATACCCTACAAGTTTTCTGATTGTTCTGATAATTTGTCAGACATATAATAAAATCATTTGTAAATCAGAAATGAAGCATTTTATTTGTATTGATTGTTTGTATCTTCCTGTTGATGTTTAGGACTGCAATTGACCAGTCTCTTTCGTGGAATGCCTCAGTATTACCGTTAAGTCACAAGCATTTTAAACAGGGATGGAATCCAGAACACGTAATTCATCCTGTTTGGAACTCGTTAACTCGATCCTTTAATTATTCTGTTTTCAGGTGTTAGATTTATCTCATTCATTCCAAACACAAATTTTTTTACTTATCACTTCAAGCATATATATATGACTTGCTGTTACTATATTTCACTCAACATTTTTGCACACAATAAGCCTACCTACTTCCAAGTCGAGTATTAATAACTGTTTATGCATATAATCGTTACTATACATGTGTATAATACAAATGATATGATTGATCATTTAGTATGAGTAGTAAACTGTTGCTTTCACGAATATGGTTTTGGTATTATTATTATTATTATTTAGTTTTCATCTATTCGTTATTTTGTACAGGATCTCATCAGGCGATAAAACATCTAACGATATATCTTATATATATTTCCTAATTAGCATGTTTTTGAAATACATTACTTATAATTTCTATTAATGCAATCTTATCCGATTAAAATATAATATTAAATATGATTTGGCATGTATTTATATTATATCTATTACTGCTAACTAATTACACATTAGCTTCATTTTATTTATATAAATTGAATACATTGTTGTTTTCTTTCTCATATGAATGAGATTCAAGTTGTTTTTTTGATATGAATCAGTCGTCAGCTTTTTAGTTGTACATAAATTTGTATTAACATATATTTAAAGGGTAAGATATTTATGTTCAAGAGTACATAGGCTACTATTCTTTAAATCAGGCTTATATGTATATAAACTCTGGATTATGTCTGCTTCATTATATTTCACCTCTTTTAAATTATTTTTTTTTCTGTTGATTTTCAAATGATGAGGATTTTTGATTTTCAACTATTCAACGAGCTATTCAGTTTTATCATTATTGGAGAAATATGATTTACTGATGGGAAAATGTACACAAACGTATGGTTCATGTTTAAAATTTGGTCAGTAGAATTCGGTCTGTACTAAGAAGGACCTGACACATATGATTACTGATCATTACCTAGTGATCATTCAATTGTAAAACTTGTCTCCTTAAAATTAATTTTTACCTGATAATCGATTGTCTTCTCGTTTACTGAGTCAAAATTAACTAACTCTATTTAGAAATTGCTGAGTAAATCAGTTTTTTTTATTTTCTATTTATGGTTTCTCATCACTTATGTCACAAAACACGAATCACTATGCTTATTAAATTGTCTGTATAATGTTCTTATACATCATTGTGATATATATGATAAGTTGAAGGATTTTGTTCTGTTCATTTTTCCTTCCTTTGTGATTGGTACGTAACCGAATTTGCATTTATGATATTCTGAATTATATCGATCATATTTTTGTTTTAACTTGACTTAATTCTCATATTCATGACACCTAATTTCATTCACTTTGAGTCTACTATTGTTAACTATTTTTGGTAGTATAAGCGATTATATTTATTTTTGATTCTCTTTTTAGATAAATTCACCGTTCTCCTCATTGCATGGACCCTTTGCTACTTCATTGTAAGTTATTTTTCTATGTATAAAATTTTTGGCAAAAGTATATTAGAAGGATTAATCAATCAAAATTGAGAACGTAACTTTTAAGTCTTTGCGCGAAATTCAACTACCATATACGATGATCAATAGAAATACCTTTGTATACCGTTCAAAAGGTTTAAAATGGTAGCGAAAAATTCTTTTTTAAAACCATAGAGTAAAAATGATTGTGTTTAACGCATTGAATGCTTGACTCTGTCTAAGTTGTACATAAAAGTCAAATGAACTTTATCCCTAAACCCGTAATCCTGAAATAAATAACGTGGTCGAACTAATAAGATAGCGCTTCTTGTATTTTGAAGCGAAATTCGTCGATTTATATGGCTACATGAGATTTTACATTAAAACTGATGTCAATTCATGGTGAGAACCCTCAATCTGATCCTGACTAAGAATAATGTTGGGAATAAAGAATCTATTGTGGTCCCTTTAAGGTTTCCGATATATGGGCAGTGTATATCCGTTAAAGCGAGTTTACATATTATTTTTGATTTACAGGCAGAGTAGCCTACATAATACATTAATTAACGCATTATTTACGTGAAACTTGTCTAAATTTTGCAATATTACTGTTTTCTCTTCCGAAAACTATCGATTTATAAAAGCTGTTTTCAAATTGGTCGGGAACCAGCAATTAAAATTTTGTCACGGTCAAGTTCACCTCTATACTATACTGTCTCTAGACATTTTTACTTCTCATGTTGCTATATTAAATTATACTGATATGAATAAGCATGTACGATATTCGATAATCATATATAATTTGTCGATTGTACAAAATGTATATTGTAATGTCGAAAGAATGAAACTGATAACATAAAATTTCGGCTTGATTTGGATCAATCGATTGATGAATCGGTTATCTGTTGTTGTTTTTTAGTTAATCGGGTTAATGAGATGCATTTTTGGTTTTTCTCAGTTTTCTCTCATTCGTTTTTTTCTTCGTTAAAATTCTCTACTTTCTCTTGTTATTGATATTGTAAAGTCAATTTTCCTTCTAGTCATATTGTGTGACTTTAAGTCGGATGATATTAGGTGATTGATGTGTGGGCGAAGATGATAATGGCTAGTTGTTTGCTTAGTCAAACTTGTATATAGTCTGACAGACGTTAGATGAGTTATGTATTCTCCTATCCTTATTATTGTTGATTTTGGTGTGGAAATATATTTACGCTCTGGTCAGGTTAATCACGTCTTATTGATCTGAGTTGTGTTGAAGTCCTGTGGAATAGACATTGGGAAGGAATCTGGTGTAGACATTTTTCTATGTGAAATTAACGTCCCATTCGTGTAGACGTGGGAAACCGACCGTTATAACAGTGATCAATCAATCAGTAGTGTACCTATCAATCACTTATTCTAGTCTGTTGAATTTTCTTCTGTTATGTCATGATAATAAGTAGAAAGAAAGTATGAATTTTATATTTATTTCTGTGGGTTTTTTTCCCAAATGTTGATATGATATGAGATTAGATGTTCCCTGTATTCATTAATTTACATTTAGATCTGAACCTCAAGTGCCATCGGTTACAAATCCCTTTAGTAAGTTTCATCGTTATAATTGAAATTATTTTTTCAATTAGTAGTGGTTTTTCTTTAGATGATACATTCCATAGTCTAATGTCAATGAACTGACTGTAAGGGGATATTTATCAGACACCAATATGGATGTTTTTATGTAATGACTTATGTGTGAACACAAATGTTTAAAGTAATATGCTTCTTCTCGGCTAAATTTCTGTTTTAATTGTAAGTTAATCACTATCTCAAGAGGTAATTCATAACTAAAAATCCTGATTACAATCTCTTTACCTCCATGTGTACCATTTCGAATTTTGTTAACGTCCTAAGCTTTGACTAGCAAGGTTAGATTTGAACTTTAGCCTCGAGAAGTCTAAACTACCGATCCTTTTTAAAGTATGATCTTATTTTAGCTCAGTTTTCAGTCCGATAGAACACTGCAATCTTCAGTGCAGTAGTAGTGTTGTAGTGAAGGAACACTCAGGTATGGATGACCAATTTATTGTTTATTGAACAATCATACATTGGTTTAGTAAAATATGAAAATCATACATCATTTACACATCTTTGAATTGCCTCTTACAAGCTTGATAGTCCCTTCATTCCTGTTTTTATCTGGATTGCTTTCGATTTCCTTCTCCGTTTCATTTCGATCTTCTCAACCTTCTCACAGACGTTTCGCTCTTAATTGGTGTCACATACTGCTTATGTCTGTCAACATAAGTAGCATGCACCACAATATTATATTTATCTCAAACACTCATTAGTTTATATACATGAATTATCAGACCACAATACAGTGTGAAATACTTGTCCCGTTATAACAGTTTCCCCAAACAATGAATACGAAATTGTTGCTTTCATATATCGTTGCTTAATCGGCATTTGAATACTGAAAAACGGTTAAATATTTTTATTATTTGTATCCTTTAATAAGTCCACGCTCTGATTAAATTGTCTTTTTAGATTCTAATAACTATGATTTTTGCTTGAATAAATCATCAAATGTTATATGTAATACATCTCAACCTCCACGTCCTGTTCCTCCACATTCATTTATGTTCCATCGTTCCTCTTCAAATGAAAAACAAGCTCCTTCACGTCAGTCGGAATTAACATCTGCCAGTTTAGTAGATTCAAAAGGCAGTTCAACAAAAACGACACTTTCACGTAAACCAGTAGGTGGTTATCAACTACCAGGACTTTCAGATAGTGAGTTTTTAAAGTTTATCCGTGTAACAAGTATATTAATATCACAAAATGAAAACGAATGTTTAATTTGTTAATATAAGTTGTCGAAATTGTTGAATCCGTAGTTATATATCACGTACCAGCTTTAGTTACAGAACCATTGTAATCTAGGAAGCACTGAACAGTTGTTTCGCCCTATTACTCAGGACTTGACAGCAGTGCGTATCCACAGCCACTGGATGAGCACTTTGTGTTTGAACCAGTGAGTTAGCATCAAGTGATTCATATTTCTAACTTACGCTATCGTCATCCAATACGTGTTGTTAGATAATTCTACTCGTGAAATGGCTGAAGTGCATTAGTCACTGCTTCTGATTAAAAATCATCGAGGTTAGTCTTCAATAATCACATGATAATTTGTTAGTACAGAATTGTGGATATTGCTGAATTATTAGCCATACACCACAAACGTGGTAGTTTTGTTTTTAAAGTAGTTGCCTTTCAGCAGCTGGGGTCCAGATCTGAATCCTACAGTAGTTACTCTAGTTTAACCTACCTTTTATAATCACTAACCCTCACACAAACAGTGTGATGAAAGTAGAGGATGTTTATCTGTACTTGTAAATGAATTAAATTCTGTTCTTTAAGATGTTTATTTATCTTTGAAATTAAATATTATCACTCCATTTGATGGTGTAGCTACCTGTAAGGCCTAAACGTACTATTCTATTCAAGTTATCGATTTACTATATACTCTTATCATCAAATAGTGTTTAGCTATAAACTATTTAAAGAGTCGAGTCTATTTAGTAAATAGCTTAGGGTTCTTACGGTATATATACCAAAAAGTTTACTTACATTTCTTTACATTAAGGTTGTCCAAAAATGACTGATAGTCAACTATGAAATGTCAAATCCTAAGTCGAAATAATAATACAGTTTTATCAATTATAGTGTTTCATGTAATCGAGTATATTTTTATGCTTTTACTTAATGCCATTTATTTTGATTCTGATGTACCTGAACTTCCATTTTATCGTTAAATACTTATTATATATGAACTTTTACTCAGTAATTCCTTATAATGATAATTCGTAAGTTAAGTATGTATATTCTTAAAGCTTACAGAACTCCAGTCTGTTTTAAATACCATTAGTTTATGTATCTAGATTTACCTTAGATTAGAGCCTAAGTGAACGAAGACTCAGATGGGAACAACCATAATATTGTTTAATACAAAACTGCAGAATTCTTTCGTAAAATATGAAAACCATGCGTTCAATATTTCATTTGCAAATCCTCCATCAATTGTTTAAAACTTCATTGTTCCTTTGTCGCAATAACAACTACTCTCTTTTCCGGTTCTCTTCGATTCGATCTTCCCAACCTTCTGCTGCCAGGCATTACACTTCTGATTGGTATTATATACTACTCCTATGGACATAAGTAACATACACCACAGTGGTAGTCAGTTCGATCGCTTTTATGTAAGCAGCAATTAATGTGTGCAACCAGTAATAATAATAATAATAATAATAATAATAATAATAATAATAATAATAATAATAATAATAATAATAATAAAACATAGATTTATGGGTATCAATGCCAAGGTTAAACTTGATAGTTTCAAATAAACTGAGCACGGATTTGCAAATTAATTAATAAACTCGTGTTAATTTTATTTCGGTTATTTATTTACTCGGAAGCATTAGTTTAAATTAAGTAACGAAGTGTTAGAAATACAATTTTCCATTCATTGAGATACCACAAAAAAATATAAATTTATTAATAAAACATGGGATAAAGAAATACTTAATCATTTTTACTTCTGAGATTTTTGCTACTTCCATCTCATGTGCTTTTTTTATTACTTTACTCGTTGTTTTTTTATTCTGTAGACTCGTTTTCCACTGTTCTTCGACGTACTAATATTTGTACAGATCTGTCAAAATCTTTAAATTCACAAGAATCTGAACCCTAAACACGTCCTCCATTTATTTAAAGATTGTTGGTGAGTGTTCCAACTGTTCTACACTTTTTTCTTTGCATATTGTTCAATATAATGACATTTGATTTTTGCTGCCATTTTGAGTTGTGATGCACTATACTACTTATAATTTCTAGATTCTGAAACCAACTAGTTTTAAGCTAAACAAAAATTGGTATCGAGGAATTATATATATATATATATATATATATATATATATATATATATATATCCCAAGTATATACACCCAGTTGAAAAATGTCTTTCTTGTAACTTAGATCGTCTTGCGAAAGGAGACCAATAGTTAATAGGCCGGAGGCGAATTGAACCATTCATATAAATTCTCCTTCTTACAAGCTTTCTTTGTTCCAACAATGTCAGATAATAGTTATCCATGATTTTTTATTTAATCTTAATAATTGGAATGGGGAAAGTTTTTATGGCTAACGTCTGGACTGAAAAGTATCATTATCAGACTTACCTAATAATAACGACCGATATCATCCACAAAATAGTGATATATGTATGGAACGTTAACGTATGTAAGCGGCGTCAGTCAGTAACACGTAGAACTTTATACGTACGTACGTACATCAGTTCAAGTTGCATACCACATTAGCACAGAGTTGCGGTTGTCGATTCAAATCCCATAGTGATAGAGGTAGTAAGAGTATAATAAGTAATCGGAATGATTAGGGTTTGACGATGTTATTCAACGAGTATAATCCAGTGAAATAAATTTAGAAAGAGAAAAAAAGAGAATTTGGGAGGACACAAAGAGTGGATGTACCTGCGCCATTGCGAACGATTTTGAGCCATGTCATTCAAGGTCTCTAACCATCGGTTGCTATCAACTCGCTTATCTCAACCAGGTAGTCTACACCTACCAACATGGCTCAGTTCACTTGTCAATGACTTCATGGATTTGTGCCATGTTTTGGTCTGGCCTCCCCTAGCTTTCTTCCAACCTACTCCTATACCATGAAACATCGCACGTCGATGCAGTCAGTGGTTGGGCATACGTAACACGTGTCCCAGCCATCTCAACTGATGAAGTTTCACTACGTCATCAATTGATTTGCTATCCTTACCGAGTACCTGTTTCCTAACAACTGCATTACTTCCTTGCTGGTTCCAGGATATACGAGCAATGCTTCGAAGATACTTATGATCGAATACTAGTAACCTACAAATATCCTCTATTCTAAACGGCCATGTTTCACTGTCATAAAGTAGGACGGAACGAACTGCTGCGCCATAAATGATGCAAGTCGGCAAAAGCTAGTCGAGCCTTCTGTATCCGTGGTGAGATTTCGTCACACACCAGACCGCAAAAGCTGATGAGACTTCCCAGATAAGTGCAGCGGTCGACACACTCACAAATTTAATATAGTTTAATCTTAATCTGCCTTATTTTCTTTCCCTTTCATTGTCTTAGGTAATTACTTCTTTCAGTCATTGAAGAAGACTTCTAAAGTGTACTTATGTAATGCGCGAATCGATAAAAAAATATCTAAATTAACTGATGTTGTTAGGTAATCCTTTCTTTTTTCTACCATTATTATTATTCACTTTTTGTAAAGTCGATTAAACCTTTTTTTAAAAATAAAACCCAATACTACCATGCAAATCCTTATAAAAATTCTTATTTTAATTATGAATATACTAGTGTTACCACTCTTAACAATGATATTTTCAATCAGTCAGGGAACAACTTAGTAGTGGTTATAAAGTTAACATAAAATTTGTATATTTTCATATTTTATTACATAATTGTGTATTGTTATTGTCACTCTTATTACTATTACTGCTACTACTTCTAATAACATCTGTAAGTTAGAAAATATAAATCAATTGGTTTTGTTCTCTTCTATCGATACACTGATTAGTTATTTCTCAATGCTTCTGTTATATTGTTTTCGAGTCATCTGTTCATGTGAAATGTTTTCCTCTTTTTTGTTAGTATTATTACTACTATATTATATAACGCATTTAACTAAACGCTGAAATGTTCACTTACTTAAGTTATTTTGTTAACTCAATTAAAAACAAATGATGATGGGTTTTTTCTCGATTTGTTATTATTACACTTTTCTTTGATACTCTGTTACTCTTTCTTCTTCTTTTTATACAGTTTCAATGGTAGTATACGTTTATTTTGGGAATACCGTTTTTTATTGTATACGTTGAAATCGCACTCATATCATGGGCTTCAATGTATTTCTGTATAATGAGAAAAAAAGTATTTTTCAGTTGGGTAGTTTCTCACATTGGCATCGATTTACCGATGTAATCGAATAAGTTGCAAAAGACGTGAAGCTCTTCCTTATTTGACATTTCATTATTTCATTAACATCTTGACCACAAAAATATTTGTTCAGTCGGTTTAAAATATTAATAAACTTGATATCAAGTTTTGTAACTGTCTCAACTGTAAACAACAATCTCTGTTACTGAGGAACTATGGGGCGATTGGTTTTCTTGTCGTTTATTGGATAAATCAACTTTATTCAGCCCTTAAATCATTGGGTATATTGTTAACCTTCATACTGTTTTGAAATGTAAGTTATAGCAATAAACCTGAGTCCTAATTTCAAACATGGAGGTTTTAGCAATATATAGTATTTTTTGTTAGAAACAGTAGAATCTGATTTGCTCGGAGTATTTTCCAAAATTGAAATAACTTCTAATGTGAACAGCTCCAAAGTGTACACTTATATTTTTATTAATTCCGGGAATAAGATTACCGTTTGTCGGTCTAGTAGAAAGTGTTACTAAAAAAAATGATAATCTGATTCTATAATTAAATATCTTTAATTAATACATATCTTAATTTTTCGATAGTATATAGTAGTCCTATGATTTCTTTCTTCGAATACGTTTGTCGTACAGATTACTTTACAAATATCAATAAGGGACGCTGTCTTTATAATCGGCTCACATTACTATACACCTGTGCATCTTTTGGTTTGTACGTTTTTAAAGATGAGGAAATCAATACGTAGGCATTTTGGAAAACTTGATGGTTAGGTACTATATAGGAATAATTAGTCTCAGTATTTTCGTTTGTCTCTTGATAGGTACATAGCACACGCCATTTGAACTGCACTTGTTACATTTCCGGTGTTATGCTTTTGCGAATCTAAACTTTTTCAGAGACTAGGATATTCTATGACCGATTTGGAAATGTTCGATTTTATCCATTATTATGAGACCAAACAGATTAACGGAAAACATGTAGGATACAATATAATTTGCTTGAAAAAGAGATATCCTATTTAGAAAACTCGGAAGAAAGTACCATTTGTAAAGTCGTTCAAATCAAGTCCTCATCTTCAAGAAATTCTCTTTTAATTACCAATGAATAGCATCAATATCTTCAGCTTCAGTAGTATGCACGTTTGAACATGTTGAGAGTCCATATAATCTGCTCGACTGCGGACAAAGTAAAACAACACAGGATTTTGTTTCCTGCTGTTCAATTGGCTCATATATCAAAGAAGGCTTTGATGACTGTTGAAATTTAGACAGATCGTCTCACGAGGTTCATGTTTCTTGTTAGACTTAACTGCATGTCTACAACTTCCGTCAGATTCTCCTAAAAGTCCCAAACTTCATTTTACTGATTTTTCTATAGTTTGAATCGTTCGCGTCATTTGGAGTCAGTGAACTGAGATTCTTCCCAAAATGTTGACGGTACCTACGTTTATCGTATGATTATCCCGACTTCACAATCGCACATTCAAAAAGAGTGAGTCAATGAAACCCATCAGCGGTAATTTTATGTACAGAATGATCCCCTAACGAAATCATAAAATATCAAATAGACTGATGCATTGTCATCACATAAGGTTATCCCTCGATTACTTAAAGACAAACTCATTGGGATTTGGTTCTTCGAACAAAAATTTCGAAGTAAACCAGGCGTTCAGTAATCCGTCTTACCTATGTTTTTTTTCTTTTCAGAGGTCTTCATTACCAAGGAAACTTTTATTTCAATATCTTGATCAATTAGTGGTTTACATCACATTTATATGAAGTGCGTTATATAGTGAAAAATATCGCGAACCCATGCATTATGGAGGTGTGGATAAAGAATAAGTAATATGCAGATTATGAAGGTTGATAGCTTCATACTGAGTCCTAGGTTTTAAATATTGTCATATGATTATAAAGTCCACAAACCAAAACTGTTTTAAAATAAGTTGAGGTATTCATATACTTCCTGGGACGAGTTTTTGCAATCAGAAAAGCAGACAATTCTCTGTGAATTGAAATATGCGTCTAACTTGTATGAACAGGCAACAGAGATGTGGACAAGGTTATCTAGTCAGACGTATCATCCCCTCAGTGGTCACATTATTTAACTAACAAATGTTGATATCCCGACAAAATGGCACTAGTTGCTTGAATATTGAGAGAAGTAGGATCCGTCTTGGAACTGAATCTCCTCATTCAAACGCTAATCTCTCTTGGCGGTACTTATTCCGCGATTAACACATTCGACGTGTAATATGGCCAGTGGTATTGTAGTTCGATAATCAGGACGGATATGAACGAAAGCCATAAGATCAGAAGAAATATGGTTACTTACCACAGAACCTTCTGCAACACTGAGCCAAGTAATATCAGGAGACCTAACCTGTCTTAAGACTCCAAAGGCCTGATATTTAGGTAAAATATTACTCCTTATAGGGATTTTAGCAAGTGGAAAGTTATCAAGTGGTTCATTCTGGTCGTTTCAAGGAAATGGAAGGTTTATTCAGTAGGGTCTTATCTGGCTACGCAACACAATGAACCAAAATATGGAACGATAAAATTAGAACCTGAATGATCAATGACCCTAAATGTTAATTACTTTTCAGACGATAAGAAATATATCGCCTATACAAATTAGAATTCTAAAACGTGGACGCAACGAAGCATCCCTTTTCGATGTTTTAGTTAACGGGAGATGTATGGGAATATTAGTCTTTCGGCTAACGTGAAAGAGCCAAGCATTCCAACTACTTCAAATTTCAACGTGTATATGTATCCAAGCAATGATTTGGAATAAAAACTTAATCTTTGCCATAATTCTTTGTTAAATATGATCAACAGTTTTTAAAAATCATTTGCATTTTTTGAAGCTACCGAAAGTAAAATAAATAAGTGAATCATAGCCAACTGACGTTTCTACTTGTCATAAGATGGTCCCATGGAAGCACGTCACACAATAAAACCATATCAGCAATAACAAATGTGAATTATTATTACTATTAGCCTTAAGAATAAGACAGATGACTAATGCACGGGACAATCAGACTGTGACGAGACTATAATTTATGAACGAACCAATCAGGTGTAAGATAACAGGTCTCAGATTTCGACGCGAAGTCCATGCATCTAGTTGGCTAAATAGAATTTTGGCATTATAGCTGATGCCATTTCGTGATGAAAACCTTAAATGTAATTCCTAACCCTAACCATTAACCGTAAATCATAATTCTAATTCCTCACACAGGTTATAACCCTCATTTGGTCCTAGTTATTAGGTGAAGACTCTCGAGGCCAGTTTAGTGTCGCTCAAAGGTCGTCTATAAATTGTACTCTCACCATAAGATTAACATCAGGCGATGACTGGATGAACACCAATCGAAGCCAACATAGCGGCAAACAAAGGAATCTAAATGCAGTCAAACATGAATCAATACCTTCAATACATATTCTTCGTTAACAGTCATCTTTAGTAAAGTTCTAGAGAGATAAGTCAAAGAGTGATAGATTCACCGTAAGGACACTGGTGTAATTACGAGTGGCGGTATATAAGTCCTGGAAAATAATAGTTTGGTAGATCTTTGACATTGAAGCTAGTCTCATTAATTTTACCGAAGACACTGGCAGCTGAAGGTGTTTGGTTAAACATCCATACTAGGTCATGCATGCAGTTTTGAGCATCTCTTACGGCAAGTATTCGGCTTAAATTTCCAGACCACGTTTTCCAAGTGAAGTATCGCATCCTTTTATTCCTGACTTCTGATTAAACTGGTTCCGGAATCTTCGACTAGAATGGATGTTTCCGAGAGCAGCATTGTCAAGCAATATTTTTGCATTTAACTTGAGGCTCATAAGCTAAGAAACCAGGCTAACTACACATGGTTATTCACTTTGGATTCAATTCAATGCATAAACAAGTGACGGGCTTTAGTGTTTATGGCCTGAGACATAGGTCAACTATTGACAGTATAAAAAACACTCGAGTGAAAAAGGACTCACGATGCTTCAGAACGTTAGATAAGCTCTCGGAATTGTGGTAATTTGACGGAGACACTCTGGTTGCAGAGTAAAACCATTTAAACTGTAAAAGACCTCGGAGTGTGCTTGTTGAGCGGTCAAAGTCGTACAGATAGGTTTCTACTGAATGAAAATAATTTCTTGACCTCAAGATTAAGTTTATTTTACCAATGAACGACAGTGGACTTATTTTTAAAAATCAGTAGCAGCGGCGTTAGAAAAAACCGTACAAAGTAAGGGGCGAGGAGTAGAACATGACACTATAAATGGTCATTCATTCGATAACAAAACCTGCCTCATGAAAATATAACAAGTGAAGTGATAATCTGTTCCTTGAAACCAATGAAAAGAACCTACATGTCATCTTGTTTCATTTTTTAAACTATAATATCAATGACCCATTGCTAACCAAACTAAACACTCGTTCTTCTAATGGCAAATGTTTAAACTCCAACCACATGATCCTCGAAGCTGAACATATGATTACTGAAAAGATTGAAATTTAACATGTAACACTTGATAAAGGTCGAGAATGGTGAGATGGGAAGTGGCATGACTCAGTCTTACAGACGTGGTCATTGTGTGTAACTCACCACCACTCACATTGAAAATATTATTCTATCCTCAGCCCACTGCGGAACCTTAATCGACACTACGAAGTCACTGGCCGAGAACATCGTGAACATCATACGGAACTGACACGACGGACTACACTGCAGATTGGTGTATGAATAGAGACCGGAGTCATACAAACTGCCTGCTCTTCTCCTTTCTATTTCGTCTAGTGGTAGAATGGATTATGAAGACCTCTCCACTCCAAGGAAATCACGGGATACATTGGAAAGCTTTCACGTATCTGGTCGGTTTGTACTCTACAGATAGCCTCGGTCTTCTATCCTATACACAAGAAAAATGAAAGGGAAGGCAGCAAGTGTGGCAGAAGCTTGTGAATCAGTAGGTCTCAACATACATAAGGGAATAAGCAACATCCTCGAATACAACACCGAGAACACCGACCCAATCACACTTGATGGAAAAGTCCTGGGAGAGGTTTTCGTGCCTTAAAGTAACCCTCGTGCTATTGATAGAAGAAACCAAAGAAGTAGTGAATAGGTCTTTATTTCGATCTCAGCGCGGTAACAGTGGAGCGTGGGATTATCTGTTCAGACAAACAAAGGCTCTCAACATTCAATATAAGATAATAGGGAATATAACGCTTATACACAACAAGGAAGTGAATGAATACTTGAACAATACTGTTTTGGCATATGCTTGGTTGTTTGGGGTCAACTCTTAACCAACCAACCTAAGCTGTTACATTAGCTTCCCCCTAGAATCGACTTCCGTAGGAACGTCGGTTCGATTAACCTAACTATCGAAAACACCTTAGTTCTATTTCTCATCCCAAGGGAAAATTATCAACTCGCTCACTGTTTGACTTACAATCAGTGACGACTGACGCTGTCAACGATAGTCCATGGATGTCTCTTCACTTACTAGCTTGTCATCTTATTTTGTAGCATGTGATTTCTTCTACAACTATCGCCGA